CCTTTTCCTTCTTCTAAGAATGACTCCCTTTTAAATAATTTTTATCCAGATTCGTTTATTTTTTGGTTAGTGTATACATGATGACCCCGTGTCTGCGCTCAGCTCTGATACTCGTCCTGGCCCTGTGCACGGGGCCTGTCTGTGAGCCGTCCTGGGAGCCTGCGTAAGAAGAAATGAAACTGAGAAGGGGGCGCTGGGGTGGGGGGGCCAGCTCACGCCCGCAGGGAGCAGGCTCCTTTATTTTTGAGGACCCGGCTACATGGCCCCCAGGCCTGCACTGTTACAAAAACAAAGGCTTTTGACTGGCTGTGAAACTGCCCTTTATTCTGACTCACTGGAGTCCCTAGCATGTTCAGCATCATGGGACGAAGCAGGTGCGTGGGTCAAGACTGACGTCCTTGGTATTGTTTCTTAGCAGTGTTTTTGTACTGATTTATAGAGCAAAGCCTTGTCACATGGGGCCTTGATGCATCTTCCATCCATCTTGTATGACAGTTCATATAACACAGTTACTCTCTATGCCTGTCACTGGGAAAGGGTGACATTCAGAGAGACATTCGTCAGGATCCTAAAGCACACAAACAAGCCTTTATGTGAATAGCCCTGGTACCATGTCTGTGCAGAGGGTTATTGTGTTGTTATTCCTATTAATATTATTATTTGTGGTATGTCACACCATTTTCAAAATGTCATTTGATCATTTACCCTGACAACAGGCGAGGCGTTGTAGCAGTTGAGTACTGTGTGGTCGTTAGTTATGGCACCAGTTACGTACATACACTCTAGAGCCAGGCTGCCTAAGTTTGCATCCTGACCCCGCTACTTTCTAGTTATGGACAAGTAATTAAACTTCTCCAGTCCTCAGTTTCCTCATCTGTAAAATAGAGAATGATAGTTCCTACCTCATTAGGTTGTTATGAAACAAGTCACTAAATATTTATGACGTATATAGACCATACTAACTGACTGACACAGAATAATCACGGTAAAATGTTCACTTGGTCGGCCAAAGAGTTCGTTTGGGTTTTTTTCCATACAATGGCTCCAGTAGCACTCAGTTGTCTTTAACTTCTTTTGAAACAATTTTGTTAGATTGTATTGTGACAGCTGTCATATCAGTGTGCATTTAAAAAAATACTTATCAAAATTGGTGAATTTTTATGTGCCATTTTAATATTGAAGATGAAAGAAAATAAGCGACATGTTTGGCATATTATGCTTTATTATTTTCAGAAAGGTAAAGATGCAACTGAAACGCCAAAAAAAAAAAAAAGAAAAGAAAAAGATTTGTGCAGTGTATGGAGAAGGGGCTGTGACTGATTGAATATGTCAAAAGTGGTTTGCAAAGCTTCGTGCTGGAGATTTCTCACTGGACAATACTCCACAGTTGGGTGGACCAGTTGAAGTTGATAGCAATCAAGTTGAGACATTAGTTGAGAACAATCAATATTATACCATGAGGGAGAGATACTGACATACTCAAAATATCCAAATCAATAAAGTTCTTGGTGAAAAATGAAAAACGTGTCTTTATTTTACAGAAAAAATCTGTACGAACTTTTTGGCCAACTGGTATTCTCAACATCATCAAGCTTCCCTACTTTGAATCAAGCTTCCAAGAGGTTATTTTTTTGGATCATAATTTTAGTGCAGAGCGGGGGTAAAATCTCAAACATGGTGTCATGACTCCAAGAGACAGGGACCTTTTTTCCTCTTGGTCTTTGTTTTCTTACTATACAGTAACACAAAACTGCATCCATGTTGTAAAGGATCAAAACAATACAGACGCACACAAAGGACATCGTTGGGGCCTGACCCTAACACCTTCTTCTCTCAGTGGAGGTATTCACAATAAGCTGACAGGCGTGCATTCTCCTGTCGCCTCCACGCAGGGCACAAGTATAAAATTGACATACATACACCTGTATGCTCTCTCTGACATAAGTGATAGTACCAGTACCTGAGACGCAGGCCTGTTGAGGGGGTACCAAGCACTATGCTAATCGTCTCATCAGCTCCACAAGGTAAGCGTTATTCTACCCGTTGTATAGATGTGGAAGCTGAAGGTCCGAGAGATTTCCCAGCATCACAAGGCCATGGGGTGCTGACACTGGACTGAATCTAGTTGGACCTGACTAGTTTTTGTGTGACTGTATTATAGGCATTCTTTTCTGCATGATTTTTTTCTCCTAGTCATATTAGTTTGAACTCCGTCCATGCAAGTACATATAAGTTTACTTCATCCTTTTAATGGCTACATAAGATCAATATTTTTTTCTAACCACTTTCTTATTTAGGTTGGTTTCTGTTTCTTTGTCATTTACTATTATATATAATACAGTGCTGAGTATCTTCAGTACATACACTTTTGGGGATGTGTGAGCATTTCTGTAGGACAGCTTTTAGAAGTGGAATTTGCACATCAGGGAGTATGTACATACTACATTTTTATAAGTATTGTCAAAGTTGCTTTCCAAAAAGAATTTTACCCACCAACAGCATGTGAGAATGCCTGTGTACTCACACTAGTGGTTTTTTTTTTTCAATCTTTGCCAATGTGACAAGGAAAAATATATTCGAAATTGCATTTCCCTGATTCCTTTTGGGGTCATCTGTATTGCCTCTGGAAATTGCCTTTTGCCCATATTGCTGTTTATTTTTCCTTGTAGACGCTCTTTATCTATTCTGGATGATAATCTTCAGTTTAAAATGCATGGCAAATATTTTCTCCTTGTCTGTTACTTCTTTCTCTATGTAGAAAATCTATTGCTCTCACCATTAATTGAATAATTCATTTTCTCAACTCATTTGAAACCCCGCCTTTATCATAATTCTCTTGTTATATGAATGACTGTGCAACTGGTTCCTCTCTTCTGTTCCACTGATTTATTTTCTATTCCTGCACTGGAATTAAATCACTTCAGTTATTTCAACCTTAGAATAATGTTTTATGTTGGAAAGTTAAAATTCCCCTTCATTGCTGCTCTCTTTTTAAAAAAATGCCTTTGTATTAGTGAGCATTTTTTTCCCCATGTGAGCATATAAAATTGGCTTGTCAAGTTCCATAGAGGAAACTCCCGTGAGCAGTTTGACTTATGATGCACTGCACTTAGGTTCATCTTAGATAAGTTGCCATCTTTACAACATCTAGTTTTCCCATCCATAAATACTGTGTCTTTATTTAAGTCTATTATGCTCATCAGTTAAGTTCTTTATGTAAATTTTACATGCAAGGGTTTGTTGCTATTACAGATGAGATCCTGTTTTTCCCATTACACTGACTTAATTTGTATTGCTAGTGGATAAGAAAACTATTGATTTTTATGTGTTAATTATTGTATCTAGCTACTTGACTGAACTCTTTTGTTAGTGACATTTGCACATATTTCTTTTTCTTGACTTATCACATAGGCTAGGACTAAAACAGTGTAGGAAAACACTGGTTAAAGTATACTTGCTCCTGTCTTAAATAAGAATGTTTCTAATGCTGTGCCACCAAGTACAGAAACACTCCATCAGCTTGAGGAAATGCCTTTCTATTCCTGGCTGACTGGGGACTTTGCTTTTTTTGCTACATCAGATTCCTCTCAAGGGGCCTTAATTCTTTTCTTTACAGTTTCCTTGAGAAGCCAGAGATTGTCCCTCCTGGGACCTCCAGCATTGACATCCAGCTGGGCCTGCCTGGGTTATAACTGAGCACAGTGGTATCTTCTCTCTCCCTTCACTCACTCACATCGGACCCTGGATGGCCTAAGGAAAGGAGCTACCTTGTGTTGACATTTTCTACTCTTCCCTCACCACCCAGGAAAAAAAAAAATTAAATGTACTGTGTGGACAAGAACAATAGCACCACTTCTGGAATTTTCTGGCAAATCCCACTGAAAAGATTTTCTTCCTGGCTTCTGGTTGTAAATAACTTCCATTTTTTCCATTCGATTATCATCAGTAGCTGAGCACCATCTCACACTCTGGTTGCTGAGTGGCTTTTGGAGTTTCTTGAGGAGAGTGTGAGAAAGGAGCTGCTCTGGCCTCTGACTTCCTGTTGAGATTCCAGACAGGGTCAGGGTGCAGCCACTTCTAATTCTAGGTGCTCAGCACTGCCTTTCACATGGTTAATGCAAAAGGAATGTTGTTCTGGTTTATTGATAAAATGACTTAATGCAGAGTACATTCGATAATTTTTAGGTAGTACAACTTTTGTTATCACCAAAAAGATTTCATTTTTCCAGGCATGTATGTGGAGCATGACTCTAATGTGATACTTGGCCCCTGTCTAGAGAACTGTCGCTGTGTCCAGTGACATTTTGCTTGGAGGAAGTCAACACCCGCCGTGGTGGCATCTGTCATGTTCAGGACTATGGAATGCCCAGGGATAATGCAGAGCCACCTCAGCAAAATGCCTTTTTCAGAAAACAATTAATACAAGGTTTTGGCAAAAGATTGTCATAAGCAGCATGGGAGAGCATTTGGGCTCCTTCTGAGATAAAAGCAGTCGATGATGTCCTTTACTATGGTATTTCTCATCTTGGTATAAGCTGGGTAGATGTTATTATATTCAGACTATTTGGCTAAGAAAGCAAGAGCCTGCTAATAGGATCCTTTCTTTTTATTGCTTTAGTACAAACCAACATTAGCCTCCAGCATTAATCCGGATGTTAATGTTTTTGAGAAGGGGATTTTTTTTGGGGGGGGGGGAATGGAGGGGACTCATCTCAGCCACAAAGTGTGTAACTGGCAACCATCCAGGAAAGCCCAAGCCAGGAGAGAACTGGAAGCCAAAAACACCAAGAGGCAAGTTGGCCCCACCATGACAGGCACAAGTGGCTGGTCTTTGAGCCCCTCCCAGTGCCAATTTCAGCTTCTAGGGCTATTGGCATAGGAAGTTGGGGCAACTGGACAATTATTTTTTCCTGCCTCACCATCCTCTCTTTCCCTCCAGATCCCCCAGCCCAGAGAAGAGGCTGAAGTAGACTAAATGTCCCTTACCTCTTCTCTTCCAGGCAGGTGACAAACACTACCACCCCAGCTGTGCACGATGCAGCAGATGCAACCAGATGTTCACAGAAGGAGAGGAAATGTATCTTCAAGGTAAGATGGACTAAGGGACCCTGTAAGTTCTCCCCACCCTGGGAGAAAAAACTGTGCTGTTTGTTTGTTGGATTGTTTGTAGAGAAGGAGGCATTTCGTTAGCTGCAAGCCTACCCAGATCCAAAAATGAGTGTGGCCAAAAATGACCTCATTGGTTAGTATTAATCAGCCAAGCAATTGACATGCTGGCAGCGAACCCTGAGGCTGTTAACAGACGTGTTGCTGCTGGAATGAATGAATAGGACTAGGTGTTTGGTGCTATGGATGTAAGAGTGAAGATCACACCTCCTCCCAGCCTTCTCCAGGAACATGCTTGAGAAACAGAAGATCAAAGGGAGAAAGCATTTCTAGAAATGCTACTTGCTGGATCACTACTTTATCTTTTCCCCTTTCACTGGCCTGCCAGAAGGATTGTTCTGAGGCCTCCCAGGCTGCTGTTGCCCCAGCTTCCAGGGAGAAGAAAATCTGATACTTGGTGAATTGCATCACAGATATGTTTCATCCCATGAAGATGACATGGCTCTCTTAGTGAAGGAGAGAGGGAGAACACACCCTAAGTCCCTGAAAGAGAAATTGAAATGTTTCTGGTGGGATTACCAGGGGGCCATTAGATTTTTTTTTTAGTTGAAAATGATTTTGAGAAATTTTTCCAGTGTACAACTACAACTAGTTTTTATCTACTCCAAAATTCTGCAGTTTCTCAGAGAGGCTTGAGGGGAAGATTCTCTTCCAGTCAAACAGTACCATCTGTGCGAGCATTTTGCTATTTTTAGCTGTAAGGGAGTCATTAAATAGACAAGGGCTTATCAGTAAAATTAGCAAGAACCCTAAGAGCTATTGCTTGTTCAATTTTGGTGATTACTGGGTTTCATCAGCTTTTGCATGTCATTTCTTCATGTCTCTTTGCACATTACGCTTTGTATTTTTAATGAATGGTTTGCTTTGCTCTTAGTTTTAATACAACTACAGAAATTACTATGGAATATTAAAGCAAAGCTTAGGCTGCTCTGCCCTTGAAAAAAGCTCACTATATGAAAAATAAATATCCCAAACATCCTTTTAGCTATAGGATGATCATTCTGAAAAATTATGATCAAGAAAAAAAAAAATCACTGAATATTAAAGGCTCCAGTAAAGGCAAGTGACAACCCAAATCCATGGGTTGGGCGTTGTATGACATTTCCCTGAGGACAAGCTGTAAATCTGCAGTAGCAACAGGCTGCTGTCACTTCTTGCATTTTCAGAATGGCGCAGATTTATTCTTGACTTGTTCCCTGGGCTTTGTTTTAGATTTTAGCATGCTAATCACAGCACCCAAAAGCAAAGACACAAGAGTGCGTGGGTCTGCTAGGAGCTGAGGCTCTGGGCCTGGGAGGGGAATAGAGGGGCTGATTTCAAGCTGTGCACAAATGCAGCACATTCACACTCCAAATAACCAGCTATCCGTTAAAATGGGCTGCATTCAGAATTCCAGGGATTGTCGGAAACCTCTTCTCGGGCTTGGGTACTCTTTGTTTTCCCTGTCGGCACATTCTTGAAGAATGAGCAGTTTCATCTTCCTCAGCATCTGATGTTCTCTCTGTGTCACGTTCCTGTGCATCTGACCTCTGGAGAACAATGTGACACTGTGCAGTCCCCGTGTTCTGGCCAAGGACTTCTGATCAATAGAACCTTCGCAGCGAATGCAGCTCCTGGGCCCAGCCCTGAGCCCGTGGCCCTGGACTGTCACATGAAGAGCATGTCCTGTGCTTTGTAGCCAGCCTCAGAGGAAATGTTAGCACTGAAGGGGCTATGAGTCTGTCTGGTTTGTGAGTGATTGTCTTCTTCTTCTTTTCTTGGCCTGGGTTAGGACAGATGGAAATAATTGTTAAATAGAGATTAAAGTATTATTCTGATGTGAAATACATTCTCCTCATCATTAATTTAATATTATTTTAGCTTGTATAAAATAATACAAGAATTATTTAAATTTGATATCTTTTCAAGTACACACAGATTGCTGTTTAAAGAGAAAAGGATTTCAATAATGAATGTAGAAAGTCTAGTCTTCATAGAGACTCTTATTAAATTTATATCATTTACTCACTGCTTTCAACTTAGTAACTTTATTTGCTTAAATCTTTTAAATCTGGTTCTCCTGCTCATCCCCACATTGGAATATATCCTTATATGAACATATCCTGATGTGTAGATCTTATCCATAATTTTATAAAAGCCGTATATATCTGACATACAAAATTATGAAGGCAGGCTTGGATTTTTACAAGATAAGAGCTTTCTATGGGATATAAATGTCTTGCTCAGTTCTGGAACCATCCATGAGAACACTCTGTGCTCTGAGAAAGCGAAGGCATGGGCCCAGAACCAGAAAACGACCCTCAAGTGGTAGCTTCCCTACTTTAAGGTGAAGACTTTTGAAAGTTAATTAAAAGGTTGAAAGATAAAGGAAACTTTTAGATTTGTAACTTAACTTTCAACCTTTCTACTAGTTTGTGTGATATCCCATATCTGCATAGATGACTATGTATAGTTAGCTCAACAAAAAAATTCAGTGAGTTTTGCCTCTGAATAGACTACTGGGGTTGACTTTATTTCCCTCATCTGAACTGCTTGGTTGTTTTGCTTTTAGGTAAACATGGCTGATGGCTTATATTCCTGAAATTAAATGTGTCTTGTAGCAAGACACAGACATTACTTTCAAAAGATAATCATATGGTTAGAAAAAAAAATACCCAGTCAGGAACTAAATATTGCTTGCATCAAAGCACTCTTGCACCCAGTTAGTGGTCTCTGTGGCCGAGAATTACGACATTTAGAGAGCAAGCTCGGACAGGAGGAGGGAAACGCACCTGGAGTTCGGAGTTGTCCCAGTTGACGTGGGCACGGGGCTCCCACACTCCCCGGTGCTGGGGGCAGGGGGTGTGGGCCCTTCTCAGACGTTCTAATATGGCTTTGTTCCACTGCCCCAGCTCTGAGCACGCACTGTGTCTTTCCAGGTTCCACCGTGTGGCATCCCGACTGTAAGCAATCCACCAAGACGGAGGAAAAGCTGCGGGTAAGGAAATAAGTAGAGATGTGGCGGCAGGTGCATTTGCAGGCCATATGTTTCTCAGCGACTCATTCTCAGGGCTGGAATTTGGGTGAAATTACTTTTCCATGACTTTTTTTTCTCTGAAGCAGACCATGCTGAAAGGCCGTTTGCCCAGGGAAGGAGGTGCCCTACTACCTTAAATTCATTGTGGGTTTTGTTCCAAATGCTTGTGTTGGTCAAAGTAAGCCTTGCCTCACTCGTCAGATTCTTAGGAACGCATTCGAGGGAAACGTCAAACCATACAGATGTGAAAAAAAAAATGATTCATGAAGTTCCAGGTCCAACAGCTGGCAACCTCCTCACCAGACATTTTTATACTTAGCCCATAACACAACACACCAACCGAGCACTCAGCTCTTGGTGCATTTTCCTGCCCTCTCCAATCCAAATTCTCTGAGGAGCCGCCATCTCTAAAAGCTGGTGACTTGGGGAAACAGTGATGAGTCCAGACCTGCCAATGTAAACAAACAGGCTGGATGGTTTTAGAACTTAACTCTTGCATGGCATCGAAATGTTTCAGGGACTCTCCCGGGGCCCTGAGCACACGGGCCAAAGGATAGACCCTCTCTATCCCTCACTCCTAAGGCCTTCTGGTCTCCATCAACTCTCAGACCACCACCAGATGACAACATGTTACCTGTTTCAGAGGCAAGTAGCGGACATATTGCCATGACCTGCATCCTGATCAGGTGCCCCCAGTTCTTCACCTGCGCTGGGGAGTATTTTTCAGAGAAATACTCAGGCCGGATCCAGACCACAGCCTCTCTACTAACATAACCTAGTGGTACCCTTGGGAAAACTGCAATTTGACTATCATCCACTAGGAGTCTCGGGGGAAAGAAAGGATTGGATTTATTTTGAAGGCCACACTCTAGCATGTGGTCTCCTTTCTTCATGCCCTGCCATTAACGGGCATAAGAAGCTGTGTATGTAACCCCAGTAGCAGTATACTTTAAGTGGAGGGGAAAAAAAAAACAACAACCTTTTTCTCAGAATAATTGACTAAAGATAGGACAAACTGAAAAAGAATTTGCCCACCAATATCAGGATGGTTTGGGTTTCTGCTTTGACATATAACATGGCCTTGGGCACGTGTGTGTAATTCTCAAGTCCATTAACCAGGCGGAAACACGCTGAAACAGTCACTTGTGTCTGGGCTTCATATTCTGGGATTTTTGAGAAACCACGATGCTTTGGAAATGGGTTATCTTTACCCATTACTACAACATTAAAGATAGTGCTTATTATCACGCTTATCATAAGAATGCAAAATTCACAATGTAGCTTGGGGATGCTGCCCAAAAAAACCACCCAAGTAACCAGTGGTTTGCACTGTCTTCTGAATAATCAATTTTATTTCATCCCCTATGAAGTCTTTTGGGAGACAAAGACAAGAATGCAAATAAGACCAGACTGCATGGAATGTGGTCCTTTCTCTTTAAGGGAGGATTGCTTGAGTTTGCAGATGGTGTTCCTAAAATGGTTTTTTAAAAAAATCAACGCTTTTAATTGCCTCTTGATGGAACTCTCTGGATAAGCTTATGAAAACAACTAGTGAAATTCTTACACTCGTTCTAGCCAAGAGGAGCTATTGTTTTTTCGTTCTTTTGTGAAGCTTACCAGAGAATTCCAAAACTCTTCTCCTGAAGCTTACATTTACCACTTGGGAGGTCCGCCCTCAGCTCATCCACCTTTGGGAAGTCAATAGTGAGGAGAAGGATGTACGTCCAAGGGGAAGAGGTCCCGATGTGCCCCGGGCAGGGTGCATGCTGGTGTGGCGAGATTGAAAGGGGAATAGGTTTTTGAATAAGGGAATAAATCTTGTGGTCTCTTAAGGGTGTGTCTACCGATCACAAATCTTGAGCCAAGATTTCCAGACCTTTCACCGGGTGTCACATGAGTGCAGTTACCATAGCAAAATGAAAATGTTTGAAGAACCTTTCAGCAGCACCACTGAGTAATGCACATTCTTGATATTTGAGAACGCATGGGGTGTTTGTAACAACAGATTCTTAAAGGAACATCTCTCAATGGCTTCATAGGCTTCTTACTCTTCATCTGGAATGTCTAAGCCAAAATAAATGGAAAGAAATCACAGGGGGTTTGGAATGTAGGTAAATATACTATCTATCTGCTTTCAGACATGGGCCCCCAAACATGCACATCCACATACAGCAACGAAAGCATGACCCTTGGCGTTTACTATCAAATTAATTTTCCTGAAGGATTTTTTAATAGTGTTTCTTAACTGAGTTTCTTTCTTTGTTCATCCTTTCCTTTTTTCCTCTTTCACGGCAGCTGCCAAACATTCAGCATTCTTCCTCCGATTTCTTTTATCCCAAAAGTCTGATCCGACGCACAGGACGGTCCCCGTCACTGCAGGTTGGCGCTGTGTCTGGGCTGGGGCCCCGGGGCGCTGTCCTGGGCCCCGGCTTCTGTCGCTTTCCCTCCCCGCGCTGCTTTTCCCACATAACTTCTCTGGCCCCTGCTTCTCTCCCACAGAGTGCATCTCACCTTCTGTTTGTGGCTGTTTTCTTCTCTGATCAACGTTTTCATTTAGAGCAGTGGCTAAAGCATCATCTTGATTAAAGCCAGTGCATTAGTAGCTACGCTTTTGGTCCTGTGTTCACACGTTTGTTTGCTGAACAAATAATGTGCCAAGCCACCCACGTGTCGTGTGGGCTGGATGCTGTAGACGTAGACTAGTAGGGGAGAGAAGACAGAGAAATAATTATGAAATAGCATGGAAACATAACACAGGAAATGGATCACGTAGATCAAGAAATGTCAGCTGAGCAAAAGGGTCTGGAGGGGGCACTTTCTGGAGGCCGGACAAGACTTGAACATGTGGAGGTGACGAGATGGGGTGGCCTGAAGAGAATGGCAAAAGGAGGGCACTGGGGAAAGCTGGGGTAGGGAGCGATTTGGCTGAAGAAGGAGTGGTGAAGTAGGAAAGGAAACAGACGAGAGCAGGCACCTATTCTTCAGTACTTGACAGGGTTCCTTACACTCTCACTCGCCCTTTCTAAGAATTCCTATGAGATAACTATCCCTATTCCAATTTTACAGATGGAGAAGCTGAGGTCTGTTGCAGTTAAGTAACTTCCCTAGACTTACACTGCTGATAAGTCAGTTGGAGGAGCAGGGATTGGAACCCATGTCTCTGTGAGCCCATAACTCTTCTTTCCACTATTGCACAAGGGGAGAGAGAGAGAAAGCTGGGAAAACAGAAAGAAGCGCATTAAATCCTGGTCCAGTCCGGTGGCATTTAAGGAACGGAGCGGCACAACCTGCTGGGCGTCCTGCAGAAGCAGGGTGCACGCATAGCCAGCCCTCCGGATGAGCGGCGAGGCAGGAGGTTGCATTCCTGGCACAGACTTGACCTCCTCCCAGGGTCTCTGAGAATCAGTTGAAACCTCAGCCTGCTAAATGACAAAGTAACTTTCCACAATCCCATCTTTGCCCCAGTGAAACCCATTTTGTAGCTGTGCCAACAGTTCAAAATTTCAACATAGCATTGCAGCCTGGGCTTTATGCCTATGACGTTTCTCTGTGCCTGCCAGACGACACTAAGGTTGAGGAGAGTCCTGGTTTAAACTTTTCTCTCTCATAATTTGAACCCTAGTTAGATATATAGAGTCTTAGAGTGGAAAGAAACCTTTTAGGCATCAACCTCCTAAGTGTCTTCATCCCTAGAGTGACGTCAGCCCAAGGCTACATAGGTCATGAGCAGCAAGACTTAACTGCAGATTCCGGCCTTGGGCGTGTTGCCTTGGCCCATGATGCTGGATTAAACTCCAGCTTGTGTTTGTCATACGATTTTCATTCTATCTTAAAGCTTTAGCTCCAGTGATGGAGTTTCCACATAAAGTGAACTTAGAGCCTTGAGAATCCAGAGGAGCAGCCCAAGATCGTGTTCCGAACAAATGAGTGTTGTTCGGAATTAGTACCTCTGCTTGGCAAGAAGTTGCTTTTTCAATAGTTTTTGGGGTTTTTTCCCCTCATAATATACTTTATAATTCAAATAGTGTTCTGTTTTATTAGCCTAAGGCTATAACCAGGTGTTGCATTTTCATGACTTGAAGAAAAAGGCCACCATCACATGTGAAATACTTTGGTTTGCTCCAGACCCTTACATTTAAGAGATGTGGAGCATACTGAGAAGTGGTGGATTAGGGAAGAGAGAGATCTGTCTTTAATAACGTCTCTCTTCCTATCCTGTTATTCAAAAGGGACATGTGATCTCCATTATCCAGCCATAAATACTCATGAAGTCAACCGTAGCTCCATCACAGAAAGTTGTAAACAGCTTGGGGCCTGGCAGAGAAAACAGGCCAGTGGACAAGGGCCCCTTCGCCCATTGGCCATTGAACAACTCACCAGAACCTTTAAGAAGCCTGAAAACGCCAAAGTACTTTTCAAGTTACACAGGCACTAATTTTTTTTTTTAAATACATGACACCCTACGCAGTAGGTCATTTGACCTGATAGTGTCAGACAAATTTAGTTATTAGATAAACTGGCTGTCCTTCTTGTAGGGGTGTTCAGCACTCTGTGCCCCAGAAATCAGTCCCGGTTTTGTTGTGGAGGAAAGTCAATTTATTATCCTGAAATCACGCCTCCTTTCCTCTTGCTGAACTGCTGGTTAAAAAAAAATGATGAAAACAGAATTACATAGGAAAATCATGTTCTAGTTTTTCTTACTTGGGAGAATTCTGTGTGAATAGTAAGTTGTGTCCATAGGAAAAACTCAGACTGAGCATTTGTAGCTCCTGTTGTCATTCATTGTACACAAGGCACACAATAGTCCCAGGACCAAGTTTGCAATAATCCGAGTGGTTCGCTCATGTTCGTTCTAAAAGGGGGCTTCTCTGCTGTGCCTTTGGAGGCTAGAGCATTAGAGGGCTGCCGTACAAACTGGACGTGAGATTTTCGTTTTTTGAAACTCACATTCACCTATTATAACATACGCACTTACAAACCTGTAATACAGGGGTGGGCAAAAGTAGGTTTATAGTTGTGAGTACACAAAATGGAGTTTATTCTTGCATTATTATTTATTACTGTGTTATTTTCCATAAGAACAACTGTAAACCTAATTTTTCCAACGCCTGCTTTCAAAATACCACATGTATATTTTTTTAAAGGAGGTAATTAGGGCCTTATGTATGTCTAGAGCAAGGAAATGATGTTGTTGATTATTTTATTAAGGCCACTACAATATATACTGCTTTCTTCCCAGTTTTCCCTTTGTTCAAATGTTTTATTCTTCTTGATCTTTAGAATCCATCAGGGTGTGTAGGCACTAACGTTTATACTGGAGAGACCCTGAGGCCTCTTGGCCATCGTGAAGGCTGATGGCATTAGTGAAACTCTCCAGAGAAGGGGGCTGCGTCCCTGAGCCCTTCCTCCTTCCTCTCCAACGCAGATTCCTTTTCCAGAGTAGTGGATTGCACCCTTTCTTGACTTCGGAGTGAGCGGTCAATGTATGCAGGTGTTAAAAGTATTCCTTCTGCAGCTCTCCTCCCATTGTCTAGTGAACTTCAACAAAACCCCAAGGCAGGTACTGTCAACTGCAGCAGCTTTTTGTAGAAGGTGTCAGTCACCTTCTATCAGTAGTTGTCCCATAGCAGCTTTCCCGTCCGGGTGCCAGTTCCTGTAGTTTCTCTCCCTTCTTAGAGCATGGCTTTGGATGAATGCACATTAGAGGAACGTAGTTGTTGCATCCTGCGCCTGCTGAGTGGGGGGAGGGCGGGGGCAGAAAAGTGCCTTCCAGCCTCTCCTCCTAAGAAGGGACCAGGTGTGCATGTGGCCCATAATTGCAAGTAAATGGAAAATGTCGTTTCTCTGCTTACTCACCAGGCAGAGCTCTGGTAAGTTTCTTTTTGTTTTTGTTTTGTTTTGTTTTGTTTTGTTTTTTTAATGGTCAGTAGTTGAAGAATGACAAGAGCTGGAATGGAGACCTCAGAGCTCTTCAGTGAAATGGTCCTGTTGTGACCGTGCCTTCTGAATGGTGGGACGGACGGACCACGTGAGGGCACAGGGGGAAGCAGCTGAAAGGTCGCTAGAGGGCTTTTTGAAAAGATTTGTGTATTTTCAAGCGTCTGTTATTAGTGACCAAATACCATTTTTTCTCTTTCCCATTGAAGTGAACTATTTAGTCTTCTTGGGAGACCTCTCTGTTGGGTTGTTGTTGTTGTTGTTGTTGTTGTTGTTGTTGTTTTAGGAAAATAAAAAGCTGTATTGAAATCAAAAGTGAGTACTTGACAGTTTGCTGAGGAGGTAAATGTAGGCCATATGGACCCCTTCTCCATGGGAGATCAAGTGGGGACTGCCCCATAGAGCTAGAAGGCTCTTACTGAAGGCCCCTTTCCTCCTGTTGCCAAATACGGATTAAATTATTTGGCTAATCTTATCTGTAAAATGCTTTGAGAGAGCCAGTCTCCAATCCTTTCTATATCTATATGCCTTCTCTACCCTTCCCTCTGCCCCCTTTTTTCTGTTTCCATTTCTCTCTTTTTCTTTTTTTTGCCAAAGAACTGAATTTTTTTCAACTGTGTTCTCAAGTTGGTTTTTTCTGCAAAGCTGAAGGAAAAGGAGCTTAAAGAGGGGAGTAAGTTGCATACATTCTCAGCAGCTCAATCCCAGGTCCTTGTTCCCTTCCTCTGGAACACAGAAGTGGGCATGTTTTTAGGGATATATATTCGAAATTATCTTCATTTGTAATTAGAGGCAAGAGAGTAATTTTGTTCATCATAACTTTCACACAGGATTCCAGAAAGAAAGGCTGTTGACCCATTGAATGATTGAATCCATTTAGTAATTACTGGGTCACTGTTGTTAGCCTGGATAACTAAGTGGATTGAAATAATAATTTAGGTTAAATAATTGCTCATAAGGCTTAGCTGCAGAAATACAGATCATTTGTTAAATTTTGTCGCAGCCCAGTGGGGCAACATAGAGTTAAGTTAATGGTAAAGAATGGACTCGAAGGAGGGAAAGCATGTCGTAATTGTGCTTCTGAGGCTGAGATGAGTTCGGTTTGAGTAGATTTGAGCTACTCCGCTGCAAGACACTCTGGGCCTTTTGAAGATGTTTAACTGATAGAGACCCTCAGCAAGTCATGTATTAACTAGGAGGAAAGCCCTGGCTGGTGTGGCTCAGTTGGTGGGAGTGTCATCCTGTGAACTGAAAGATTGTGGGTTCAATTCCCAGTCAGGGCACATACCCAGGTTGCAGGTTTGATCCCTGGTCGGGGCACATATGAGAACGCAACCAATCAGTTGTTTCCCTTTCTCTTTCCCTTCTTCTCTCTCTAAAATCAATGAAAAGTGCACTCAGGTGAGATTTTTAAAAATTAAATTAGAAGGAAAAATACAGCTAGAAGAATAAAGGGGGTTCTTTTAATAATAAATGAGATGTTTATTTAAAGTTCAACATGTTAAAATTGTAGGTGTTTAGAATTGAAATGTAAAATTCCCAATATTTAACTAAAATGGTAGTTCAGTTTTCAAAAGCATTTGTATTATCTTTATAAAGGAGAGGCCACTCTAGTCTCTGCCAATGGAGCACAGGCACTCGGGAGTCATGAGGGAAGGTGACAGGAAGCAGGCGACCCATGTGTGCTTGGGTGATCCTTGGGCACAGGTGAAGAGGCAGCAAACCAGAACCCGTCCTGGCCGGTAAGACAGGCCTGTGCAAGGTCTTCCCTGTGCAGCGCTGACGGGCGTTCAGTACTAATGCTGAGGCCAAAACAGGAAGTCTCTGTCTCAGGAGGATACAGAATTACTTCCTAATGACCTTCTCAAAAGGGGAAGGACATCTGTCAACCCCAGGTAGGGCAGCCTAGGTGTGGAACTCTAGAGTAGCCTATTCTAGCCTATGCATCTCCTGTTGGAAAGGCCTGTCCTCTCCTGAGGAGCAAAACAGAGTTGGTGCCGCCCTTCTGTATTTGAGATTGACTGGCTAAGAAATCCAGTCTCATGTCAAATATCTGAAAAACGCTAGGCGCTGGCCCTGTGCCAGGCAAGGTACTGGAAGCTTTGCTATGTATTGGCTCATTTATCCCTACCAAGTAGGGGCTGTTAGTGCCCTCTCCTCCAGTCTTTAAAGGGAGAAATTGAAGCCCAAGGAAGTCCAAAGAAAAAAGAGTGGAAGAAAGAAAAGAAAAAAAAACCTCATGTAATGTCACACAACCAGTAGAGCTAATATTTGAACCAAGTTATTTGACTCCAAAGCCAGCCTTTTAACCTCTCTATATTATATTATACAGAGTTGTGTTTTATCCCATATTTCAGTTTAGACAGGAAAACAGAGAAGAGTTATTGCAGGAAAATAGGCAAGCAGGAATATAATACAGCCACAGACAACATACCCATGGAAGTGAATTTTACGTAAGGTTAGGAGATCAGATTGAAGCAGAAGCAAACAATGGTGAATACAATGAAAGGAAGAGCAGTTTTTGAATCTCCAAGAGGCATCTTGAGCATTTCTTAAATACTGCTACACAGTGTAAAGATGCACGTGGTCAAGCGAACAATCTCTCGAACAAGAGCCAGAGCATTGGTGGATTTGGTGAACATCAGCCCAATCTTGAAAACTATTTGACTCTAAAAATCTAAAGTACGTATTTTGGAATCAGAGAATCTGGGGAAGGGGTACACAAACTGGAAGTGATTCTAATCTGAAAACCTTTAAAGAATCAAATAAGACTGGACAAAAATTCAGATTGTTGGATAACTCTTAAAGCCTTTACCCCAACAATACTAGCAAATGAACCAGATAAGTGCTTTTGAGGAAGCCAGCGTAAATCACTGGATCCCCGATCCAGTGAAGAAGGAAGGGAGAGAGAGACTGAGCTGAAACAAGCTAGTTCGGCCAAGGGACCTGCTCTTTGGAGGGGCTCTTGTCCCTGGAAGAGACCATTAACCCCTTCGGAAGTGTGTTCATGTCCTTCCACTGTATTCCTGTGAGCACGCGGGGCACACGAGAGAACACAATGCTTCCGAGGGCTCCACACATGTGTCGTTACAAGAAAAGCAGGAAATGTCCCTGACCCACATTTGGCAAAAAGTCAGGATGAGGGACATGAGAGAGACCCCAAAGCTCAGTGTGCACTTGGTTGTTCGCACAGTGTGCTAGCTGCCTGTTAATGAAAACAGGCCTTTGCCATAGCAACGCCAGTAAGTGAAGACATCTGACTGTCCTGCATCCTCTCGTACCCCACCCAGCACAGCGGGTGAGCGCGGGGCCCTCACCCCACCCTAACACAGCTAGTGTGGGCTGCTCATATAGCCGATGGCAATGCAAGTATTTCTAGTTTGCAGGCACTCTTTTCTGCTTCTTGCTCTCAATGTTTTTCTTCATTTCCACCTCATTTGCCCCCTAACTATGATGATGGGAAATAAGTGGCCACAGTTACCTTATACTGTGGGGGGAACTTTAGTGCAGGGAGGGGTAAGAGCTTGGGCTGTGTCTCCAGGGTTCAGGTCCCGGCACTGGCCTACCTGTGTGGCTCAGCACACGGGGCTGTTGAGAAGATGAGATAAGATCATGCCTGCCACATAGTAAGTGGGCACCAGCTGCTATCAGTGTTCTTGTCCTGTTAAGAGGCTTCATTTTGGTATTGGGCTTGGCAAGTAGTAGCGTCCGGTCCCTTGACGCTGAGGACTGCCTGTAGTTCATGAGTATCCCACAGAAGTGCCTGTTGGCTCAACTTTATGAAGGGGCAGCATCTCCTTTCGAAGGAGGGCTGCGCTTTGTGTCACTTCTGTGTTTTGATCAGGAAAGGGATCAGGACTTGGACTTTTTGAGTAGTAGCATTATGTGAATCCTTTCTTTTTCAATATACTCAGAATTGGGATTTTTGCATATTGAGATAGGACTATGGTTGGGAAATTGTCACTCTAGGAGGAAGTGCCTGTACATGGCAGGTCTCGGGGAGGAGGGGGTGCCGTGAGCCCGGCACAGCTCCACCTGCACACAGTGTGAGTCCCCCAACCCCGGCCACCCTGGGGTAGCAAAAGCTCCAGAGACGCTGGCCGAGACCATTAAGTCTTCCTGTTAGCGTGAGTCTCATCACTGCCGGCCTTGAATAGACCAGCTGGGCTGGCTTTCATTGTTTCACGTGTGAATTAATGATGCAGCATCCTCGTTCTCAGTTCTTTTGGATCAGTAACTCTCACAGGTCAAGGTGCTAAATACCAGAAACAGTACCAAAGGGGAAAGGTCCTCTTCCTGAGGGAGAACTAGAGAAGGTGCCTTCTCCACTGAGCAGCTGTGCAGGGGGCAGGTCCTCCAAGACCACGTGGGCCTTCGGGTTTCTTGGCAGAGCTTCCCTCCCACTCCTACAACCACAGGACTCTCTAAGCTGATGTTACAAAGTCCGGTTTCTTTCATCCTCCCTAGTGGTTGACCACTAACCTTATTTAAGTGACCGCCTGTGTGGTCAGCCTCAAATCATGTAATTAATATGAGTCAAGTGTCCACAAACTGAGTGTTTGTTTACATTCATAAGTTCTAGCTCATTCCCTCGACAAATAAGTCAGCATGTCCTCTTTGGACGTAAACCATGAAAAGTAAACCCTGTGAGGGCAGAGATTGTAACACAAGTCAATCAGGGAGGTAGACATCATGCAAGAGAACCAATAAACATGAAATTATACATTTTACTCATGAAGGAGACAATAAGAGTGACTCCGTGAGAGAAAATAACCAAGGGAACCAACCCCAGATTGAGAGACCAGGGAGGGCTTCTTTGAGGAGGTGATATTTAAGCTAAGACTGTAGGAGTAAAATTGGGGACCAGGGCCTTTCAGACAGAGGGAGCAGCAAGCGTTACGAGCCCAGATGCAGGGCCGTGCACTGTGTTTTGGCAGTCACAGTGGCTCGTGAGTGACAGTAGGAGAGGAAGGCAGGGACAAAATCCTGAGGCCCTGGGAGGTGTGATTTTGTTCTAAGTGGACAGTGAAGCCAAAGCAGAATGGTGACAATCCAAATGATGCTCTTCAAAGACCCCTCTGTTCACGGGGTGCCGGGTAGGTTCGAAGAGGGCAAGAGTGAAGGCAGGAAACCCACAGGGGAGGAAGGGCGTGGTGGTGCTGGAGACGCAGGCAGGGTGCCTGGGGATCGTGGCAATGCGGAGAGAAGCATGCTTGACGGCAGAGCCAGGTTGAAGGGGACAAGGACGTGAAGGTAAAACGAAAAGCCCCAACTGCATTCTTGAGGCTGACTGCGCAACTAGTTCTCCTGTACCTTTCTCTCTGGGTTATATCTTCCCTCATTCAGAAAAGTCACAAATCCTTTTATTAACCAGCTTAGTTTTTAGCAAAGCTTAGGGAGGCAGGCCAGCCTCGAATGGGAAGCCATGGGCTGAAATCTTACCAGTCACCGTTTATTTTACAGCCCACCAGGACTTCCTCCGAAAGCATTTACTCCAGACCAGGCTCCAGTATCCCCGGGTCCCCGGGTCACACGATCTATGTAAGTATCTCCTCCTGGAAGAGGCACTTCTGGGCGGGCAAGCGCGCAGAGCGTAACAGTGGAGTGGATAACCCGAAATAGAATAATGCAAAGTGACGTCTCTTTCTGATCTGAGATCCAGTCTTCGTTTTTGTCCGTCCGCCTTCTCCATCATGCTCTCGTTCAGGTTCTTAAATTCATCCGTGCGAGTGAACATCAGTGCGGAGATTGAGTACATGCCCCATCAAAGGCAGCAACACAATGCAGGACTTCAAAAACCGTTGCACCTGGCTTGTGTGTAGATATTTGGGGATTCATTGTGCACTTTATAATGCTGATACTAGATGTTCTTAAGTCTGCCACAAAGATATTTAAATGTTTAGTTTATTAAATATGCCGTTCTTGTTTTTAGCCATCTAGGAGATTTCTTGACCATCTGTTTGGGTTTTCCTTCTGGAATAAATTTAGGGAATGACCCTGAAGGTGTGCAGGTTTCTACACTTGATGAATTCTACATGGACTTTTTCCTGAGCTTTTGGTGACTTTTTTTTTTTTAAGTGTGATTAATACATGGTATAAATGACCAGCTTTCTAAAGAGTTCAGCTGTGCAAGGCAAAGTGTTTTGGGTTTTGTTTATTTTTAGGGTTGTTGCTTTTTTAAGTGAGTAATGAAAGACACAGACAATAATCCCCTGAAGGTGAAACTGCAGAATAACTCCTTTCCTTCTTTGCCAGGCAAAAGTGGATAACGAAATCCTGGATTACAAGGATTTAGCAGCCATTCCCAAGGTCAAGGCAATATATGATATTGAACGTCCAGATCTTATTACCTATGAGCCTTTCTACACTTCAGGCTATGATGACAAACAGGAGAGACAGAGCCTGGGAGAGGTAAGAAGTTCCTAGAAGTCACAATTCCTACAACAACTTTTCTTTTGTCACATGATAAGAACTACCAATTGGAATTCAAATAAGTCAGAGGTGCCTGTAGGTTGCACAGTATTTGCAGCCTTCGTACCAGGTGCTTTGAGGTGCTCAAAAGCCTACCCCAGCCCTCAGGAGGTTACAGAGCAGAAGGAAGGCAGGCCAACTGCGCAGAAAACAGCAGGAGGATGGATGCGAGTTCGTACCAGGCTGCAGGGGAGTGGAGCCGGCATGCCGAGAAGGCAGCCACAGCTGCCAGGGGAGGGTCCCTTGCAGGGCGGGGAGTATTGGCCTTGGAGCAAGCTAAACTATAATGGCGGTCACGAGGAGGGAGCGTACCCCCCTGAATTTTGATAGCTGCAGGTTTTAGCTAAGTAAGATAACTAGAATGTGCAAAAATAGAAAAAAAAAAAAATAGAATGGTGCCACAAGTATACTACTGTGTATGAGCCAGGGTTCTGGAATCAAATACCCTGGCTTCACCTGGGCACTCCACGTGCTGGCTGTAGGACTTTGGCTGTGTGACAACCACTCTGATGCTAGTTTCTTCATCTGTAAAACAGGATAATGACAGAATCTTCTTCATAGGGTGATAGGATTAAATCAGTTATCAACTAATGGTTTATATATGTAATATCTAGATAATGAATTATCTGTTAAAGCCAATTTATATTAACTAATCTATTCAAGCAATTAGCTGAAAGCCAGAATTGTGGAATATAGTCAGCAAATGACAGTTCTTCCTGTTGTTTGTGCCCGTCCTCTTGGGGTTTATTGATGCCCTCCCACCAGACCCGACCCGCGGCAGGCCGGCGCCTCTGGGTCCCGTGGGGTCTCCGCTCCCCCAACCCCTTTCAAGGCGGGAGTTTCCTATTGTCATTTCCTGCTCAGGTCCCCAGGGCTCTGTCTGGTCTCTTTTGCCGACCTAAATATTTTTCCCCTCTAAATATTTTCCCCTTTTATTTTTAAACTAAAATCATCTATAGACTAATTTAAGTCCAGTCAGTTACATGTTACTCAAGTAATGGTCTGAAATCAGTTGTTCAACCGAAGTTAAAACAGACAGTAAACTATCTGTTAACATCATATAGTACTTTGAGATCTTAGGTGAAAAAAAGGCATGAAATGTGTTGATTTTGTTTACTTTGTTCACAGTTATAGATGTATAATATTTATTTTGTATTTATATTTATTTATAGTTAAGTCGTCCTTTTTATTTACTTTCTGATCCGGGTTTTACTCCAGAGAGTAGCTCTGCGTTGAAACGGGCCATTGGGCAGGGAAGCGATATGCATTTTCATGTACTGCCACCTAGTGGTCACATCGCTGTAGCTGCATCTGTGTCCGCTCAAAGGCAGGTGGACTGGCCTGTTCCTCCGTTGCTTTTGGGCTGGGGAGAGTTTAACAGGGGAGATAGGGTAGAGGGAGATTCCTGAACCAGGTGCACAGGGGCTGATCCTGGGTCAGGAATCTCCCTGAAGTGGATGAGAAGTTTCTAGTGTTCGAGTCATCCAAGCAAGGCGGAAGTGAGTTGCTTTATGGTGTTTGGGGTTTTGGTGTGTTTCCCAGTGGCTGCATTTTAGGCAGTAAAACATAAGACCTCAAGAGTTTGTGCTTTGAATTGACCATTTCTGGGTTTGAAAGCAGACTGATCTTTACTCACCATAAGACTTTGGGAAAGTTACATATTTCAGTCTCCTTATTTGTAAACTCAAGGTGGTCATAATGCTTTAGAAGTTTTCTGTACGGATTAAGGCAAATATTTAGACTACAACAATACTGGCACATAATCAGAGCTCGACAAAAATGCCAGCTGCTGTCACAGTCAGCATCGTTACCATCATAACCTGCAGTGATGGTTTCAGAGAAACTGGGGGTTTCTCTGAGCAGAGGGTCTCCGTGGGGAGGGGTCCCCGCAATCAGAAATCAGACATATTCGTGAGCTCTTCCCAACACATGGATCCCAACTTTGAAAACTTCACAAGCTACTTGACTATGCGTTCCTTTCGTTACTACACCTTTCTTATAGAATCCTTATATTGCTGCTTGAGAAACACTGCAGCTTGGAATACTGCGAGCCTTCCGAAGGCAGGAGCAGGGTGGGTCCAGAAGCCACGCACCAGGGACAGGCCGAGCTCCTGCCGAGGGGCCCGAGGCAGCCGAAGCGGCAGGCGGATCGTGGGCTGAGGAAGCCCGAGGGCCAGAGGGCCTGCAGTTTCTCACGAAGTTGGTGAAGGGGGCGAGTGGGGAAATCCACTACACGGAGTGTTCTTCAGAATGCGTTGTTTGCTCTTCATTTCTAGTAAAACTCATTTTGCATTTTAATTGTAAACACTTCACTCATTCATCCGGGAAACCTTGGTTGAACCCCTAATGTAAGCCAGGAGCTGTTCTAGTCACTGGGAACACTTAGTCGTAACTGAATGGAGGCCTTACCCTCATGGAACTTCCAGGGAGGCAGACAGACGCACAGACATGCAATGTCACTTTACAGGGTGATAGTGCTCTGAGAGAAAATGGAATGGTAAAGAGAAAGCATGTTGGGGCCGAGTTGCTACTTTAAATCAGAGTCACAGAAGGCACTGCGTGGTTGTACGTTTGCATAGAGACCCCTCTGAAGATGAGCAGTGAGCCCTGCTGGCAGAGGGGCAGAAAGGGCACAGGCCCCGCGGAGCGAGAGGGCGTGGCCCGAGCACAGCCCCCCGGAAGCCTGTGTGCCGGGCCGCGCGGCCGCCCGAAGGTGAAAGGCGGTGAGGCCGGCGGGGCCACCCGGGCAGGACACCACAGGCCTGGTCCTCGCGGGCCTGTTTCAGTCATCAGACTATTTATTGTATGTGATTGCCGTGGCTCTAACCTAGTCAACGGCCATGTTTACAAAATTCTGCGTTTCGGTAGACACTGGAACTTGTAAGTGGTAAACAGCGCAGTTTGAGCCGATGGAGGTGAAATTCTGATTTGTCTAGTTTTTTGATCACCTAGGGTATCACAATGTATTTATCAAAACCCATGGCGCTCAGGCAGAGACGCGGGCCCCAGTCACCCAGGACCTCTGTCCTCGGGTGCCCATCTGAGGCCCCCTCGCAACACCTCACACCAGGGCACGGGCACGGGGTGCTGGCACGTGGGGTTTGCATGCTGTTCCCAGGTGATGCTGATAAGCAGCACTAATCAAAACTGCTAAATTAATATACATTGTGATTTTAAATGTTCTTTTATTCTTCTAGTCTCCGAGGACTTTGTCTCCTACTCCATCAGCAGAAGTAAGTACCATTTTTGAAAATTATAATGAATGGAGTTGGGGAGTTACTAGGTTCTCTCTCTAGACTGGCCGTTTGGGGAAAGGACATTAAATAAAAGACCAGAAAAACTGTGTGCGAGATTAGGATGTCTGTAGGACTCCTTACATGTAAGATATGACTATAAGACACAGCAGAAAATTTCTCTGTAAATGGAGACTCGGGGATAAAAGCAGCCTGACCCTGCTCTGAGCCCTATGAATAATTAATTTCTATTAGTATGCTGCTAATTACACCTGAAGCTATGAAGAACGAACTTCTTTTACTGACCAGTTACAAGGTTCGGGCACATTAGTTGGGAACTTTTTGTTTTATTGTTGTTGTTGTTTATTAGATTTATTGTTACAGCAAGCGGGGATCAAATCAAAGCTTCTTTGCCATTTGCTGTCCCATTTCACACAGCCATGGTTACTGAGGATTTAAAATAGGCACCTTTCACACTCGCTCCCAAACTTGGGTTAGCAGAAACTTCATTGGCCAACAAATTCCTAAAATGTAAAACATTCTAGTACTCTCCTACTTCTTATGTATTATGTTTATGTGATTTTTTTTTATATTTAATACCTAACATATTTTCTAGATTTGGGCATAAGAGACATGCTAGTGGTGTTACTGTATTCCATGGAATTGATGCTTGCCCGGATTTACTTAATTAGTCCCCAATTTGTTGAGTATGTAATACAAAGTGTTCTCCTTAAATATGGCGGTATTATAACTATCTTGGGATACGTTTTTCCATTTAAAGGTCATTTTTTATTATTTCCTTGGAATATGTTTCCCAAAGTGGGAAGTAGAATTCCTTCCTGGGCTCGAGGCCACCCCCAGCTTGTTCTTCAGGAAAATCAACTTAAAATGCCACCAGGTCAATGTCATGGGCAATGCGGGCTGCTGGTCAGAACCCGAGGGGATCACACAGGCTCTGCCTGTGTGAGCTACACGCATGCACACAGGTGTTTTACCTGCGTGGAACCCTCTGAAACATTCTTCATCTGTGGGAAAGGGAGGTAATAGCACGCGTCCCACCTTCCTTATCATGCAAATCTGATGAAACTACATAGGTGAATGCACTTTATGAAACTAAAAAGCTCATATAAACGTAGTCATTGGAATCATTCCTTCTGCTCCCAGAGCTCTATCAACATCAGAGTTTATAATATTTACAGGATACATTTTAGTAAATGCAAGTACTAGAGGTCATGACCAAGATGCATGAACCACGGAGTGCTCCTTTGCATGATATCTAAGGAGCACGGCCCTAACATGTGTCCATGACCAAGTGGGCATGACAGCCCCTGGGCAACTTCCGTGGAACTCGATGTCACTGGAACGTGACGACGGCCCGCACGCACGTTCTGTGCTCACACTGTCTCGCACTGCGTCCGCAGGGGTACCAGGACGTCCGGGACCGGATGATGCACCGCTCCACCAGCCAGGGCTCCATCAACTCCCCCGTGTACAGCCGCCACAGCTACACTCCCACCACGTCCCGCTCTCCGCAGCATTTCCACAGACCCGGTAAGGGCCCGTGCCCCCGGATTCACTCTGCAGGGCAGTCTGTGCGCCTGTGTGATTTCTTTTCCCAGCACGAGAGCTGGCTGCCCAATACATACCCCTCTTCCAGAAAAAGAACAAGAAAACTCATAACCAACTGTAGTTTGTTACGTCTTTTCTTGAAACAGTTATTTTATGCTTATGTTCATTATGATTTATTAAATAATTACGTTTTGACAGGAAACAACTGGAAACAAAGGAGGATTTTTGGGGGGTTTTTGTGTCTTTGGATTTTGGGGTTTTTTTTTTTGTTTTTAGTTTTGAACAACATCGCATCATTTTCAGACTTACTATGAAGATCTCCAAAAAAAAAATTTTGATCTGTTTTTTAGGCATGCCAGCATTATCTAAGATCAAATTCTAGCCGTTTGTTGATGGTCTGTTATAGTTCCCTTATCCAGGCACGGGCGTTAGCAGGCGTGCCTGGTGGAGCGCCTCCTAGAATAAAGCATTGCGTGCAAGCTCGGGGTTGTATGTAACTTCCCCAATCCCTAAGATTTTTAATCAAACTTAGAAAACATAAAATCATTAGAGAGGTACTGTGATAGAGAATACAAACTAGTAGTGGACTTCAGTTGACCTTTATCTGTGCAGAATTGGGTCCCTTGTGTGGGTGTCTCATTTGTGGAGTAAAAAAAGAATGGGGAATCCCAGAACAGCTCCAGAATTCCCCGAGAAATGGGTTCACAAAGGAAGATTTGCGCCTTTGAATTAAACTCAGTGGTAATGACATGCATTTATGAAAACTTCATCTTAAGCTTCTTGCTTCTACACGGGCTGATGAGAACAAACCCACTTATTTGCTAACTTACTTTATAAAATAAAACCAAAGAAAATGAATAAAATGTTAAAGGGCCACAATCTTTTCTTTAAAGCCATAGATTTAATGCTTGTAGAGGACTGAATTTTTATTATTTGATCCCTTAATAATGTATAGTTTTCCCTAGGCTCATAAATATTTACTCAGTATTTGTTGAGTTACACTAATTTTCATTTTAAAGTTAATGAGAATTTTCAGGAAATAGAGTCCTTTCTCTTTTTATGCACAACTGTATTCATATCATTCCTGCCCTGGACCTGGGTCTGGATTTAAGCCCTTGTCTATTTGGGTGACGAGAAATCCTTTATGCCGCCAGGCCTGTGTATGGGCATATTGCTGAGGTCCCTGCGACCCCAGCCCTGACCTCATCCCAGTGACCTGGGTTGCTGGGAAACTGTCCCAGAGACCTTTGCATGGTCGGGGAGTGGTCAGCTGGGGACAGTGTTTCCCTGCACAGTCCTGTCCTGATTCAGCACTGGGAAGTTTCCGTCTGTCCCAGTCATTGTTCTGCTGTCGATGACCTTAGAAAAATTCCCCATTCTAAGCATTCCCCCTTCTCTCCCTTCACAGTATGTTGCAGATATGCGTGATGCCAACGATTAGGGTTTACCAGTATTTTTTGAGGACTACGCTTGTAAAGTGAAGCTGGCGGCGTTCTGGCAGCCTAGTTGTGGCCAGTATAAAGCGCCCCAAATTATGCGTCCCGTAAGCTCTAGATGCCAGGCGGTAAGAGCGCACGTGCCCAGGCCTGGGCTGGCCTTCACACATCCAGGACAGCGCTGCCGCCCCCTCGCTCTCGGGGTCACAAGCCGCTCTTTGACACCAGGAAGCACACGCAGGTTTTTGTTGTTGTTGTTCTACGTAAGCAAAATAAAATTAAACTTCCAGTGGGAGACGTTCGCAGCTTAAAAAAAAAAAAGAATCTGACCCTTACCTAAACGTCCTTCTTTTCAAGGTTCTTGAAAGGACTGCCGTTATTTTTACACGTGTTTCAGAGGATTCTGGGTTGTCAGTTGCTTATTAAAAACAGCTGTCGTTGAGTCTCAAGGATGCCCCCAGCACTGGCTGAGCAGTAGCTCGTGTCCTTCTTGCAGAGGGTGTCCTGGTGGCCATTCCTTCTCGCTAAAGCCATTTATTCTCAGCGAGTGACTCTGTACTGACCTGAACCTATGTACTTGCAAATTCTCCCCACTTGGCCTAAGACTTAGCAGGTGAATTCTTAACCCTTTTTCCTTCCTCCTTTTTCAGACTCCTGATTAACAGTCTTTATTATTTTTCCCCATTGGAACGATGCCGTTGTCCCGCTCTCGTGTTAATTTCTGTTCTTCTTTTCTGTTTCCACCTGCCCCGCCCCTGGCCCCCTGCCGCACAGAGCTGCTGTCTCCTGGTGTGCAGAGGTTGTCCTACCTGCGCACCAGCAGCCTCAGCTCCGCCCACAGCGACTCCCGCCCCAACTCCCCCTTCCGACACCACTTCATTCCCCATGTCAAAGGTAAGGGGGTGGGCTTCTCCAGGCAGCACCCGCAGAGTGGAGATTTATTAGCACCCTGGGAAGGCTAATAAGGCGTATCTCCAAGAGTTAGCTCTGAGCTTCTGACCTCTCCGCATGCCTGCGTGTGTCATGGCTACACCTGGTGGTGTCTTAGAACTGACATAGCCTCTCGTTAGGAGAAACATGTCATTTCTAAGGACTCTCACTGAAGAAACAGGAAGTATGCTTAAGACCATGAGATTTGTCACCTACGCCTCAGGAAAATATATATTATTATTTTGTTTCTGTATGTCGAAAGCAAAATATAATATATAGCTGGGGCATTGGACTGGTTTTAATATGTGATATAGCTCAGCAACACCCAACAGGAGTTAGCAGTAGGTATGCAAAAGTTGTCTTAATGGTGAAGCCTCCTCACCATTTAATATTAAAATGTTCGGACCTTATAAGAAAGCTCTATGGCTGTGTAACTTAATTTTCTTGGTCGGAGCCGGCTTGGTCATCTTCTTTTGACTGGTCCTGATTTCCTGCCCTGCGGTTCTGCCCGTTCCTTGCGTGGCTTGCCCACCATTTTCATTGTCCGTTATGCTTCTCTAGCCGTCCTTGATCAGGGCTCTTGTTCCCCGCCATGTGCTGGGGAAGCCAAGAGCCCCAAAGCAGTAGGAAATAAATAAAATAAGTGTGTGCTCCCAGAAGGATGCCAGCTTTTTCCACAGCCTTGATGTGAACCAAATTAACTAAGGAAAGTAGCTTAAAAGGGAGTAACAGGGAAGCACAGGTGCCGCCAGGGGTCCTAAGCCAGTCCTTACAGATTCTAACCCTGCCTTCCAAGTGCTCACATCCCTAACACTTGTGTTGTGTGGCCCAAACACTGTTGCATTTGAAAGATCACTTGCAGGCTACCCACTCTATTTGCTGCTTACTCACTCAGATTTTTGAGCACCTGAAATACAGGTGTGGTGTACTGATCAGCATGCAGTGATTTTACATGTGCTATTTTGGCATTTTCTATGCTGTGAAAATAATATTGCCAACGTGCTTATGGAAGACACACCGTTTCCATTAACAATGAGATCAGTCTTTTTTGGTAGATGCAGCACCTTCTAAAATTCTTGACAGATCATTTGAAGTGATTATTGCTAGTGAGTGTTTGGGAGGAAAAAAATTTTTTTCTAGATGTCAAGATGACAGTTTAGACAATGTTTATAAAACCATAAGAGATATTGAAAAAAAAAACTTAGGAGATGTATTTTTAAAGAGACTTTAATATAAAAACGCTTGGCCAAATCAAGAGTTTGTTTGTTTGTTTCTAATATGCAAGAGAAAATACATTTTTAATCCATTAAGGGTCGACTGCCATGTTTGGTTGTGCTTCATCATTCAGAAGACATGCTTTTTTGTTGAAAGTAAACTGTCACGTGCCCTGTACAGTTATACAAAGTTTGTACAAATAACAGATCACAAAAACAGATCAAGACGTACCATACCCTATGTCTGTGAGCAGCCATGCGGACATTGGAGTCCTGGGTTTCAGTATTACCTGCGCCACTTGCTAGCTGCGGGACCCTGGATTGTTGACTTCACTTTGTGAGTGTCAGCAGGGTGCTCTTAAAGCACTTCCCACCATGCAGTTTGCTCTTGGCAGCATCCCTGTGAGGTAGGCCCTGGTGGGCCCAGGTGGAGGGGAAGAGGTGAGCTAAGGTTCAGGAGCCCAGCCGAGGGCTCGCAGCCAAGGAAGGTGCAGCCGCTGGACCAGACCCCGGGCCCTCCCATCCCTCGTGCAGTCTAGGTGTGTGCGTTTCAGTACGAAATATACATAGAGTATAATTTTGTACAGCAAAATTTTATTTTTCATCTCTTTTTAATGAGAGAATTGCATTCTTATTGAGGGTAAGACAAACAGCTACTTCAGTCACGGAAATTACAAAATTAACAATTTCTTACTTTTCAATAGAAATATCAAATGGTTATGAAAATTACAGCACCTCTTTCTGCCTCAATGGTGCTTTATTTAAAAAATGTGAATATACTTTCTTTTCTGTTTTCAGTCTGAATTTGAAGTTTTTCACACAGTCAAATATTATGGATTTGAATGATAAAAAACATTAGGCCAAGAGGGATTAGCACGACCCTGAGCTTATATTTAAAAACCATCTAATAATCTCCCATTTTCTTTTCACTGGACATATGCCTATAGATTGTACATATGAAACAGTTTATATACCTCAGGTAGAAAATACAATGCACATGATAGTATATGCTTAGTTTTAAAATAAGGTGAGCTTTTTGCTAAACTACAACATGAATCACAGAGAATTTGGGTATTAACTGTAGTGCTTTAAACGCCTAATATAGTTGAATGGCTAAATGCTGATTCCCCGAAGCATGACCTCTTGGTTATTGTGAAAGCCATGTGTCCACCGACATGGAAGGCCCCTCCAGCATTTGGAAATTTCAGAATGGAGGCAACTTACGGCCATTTGAGAAACACGTGAGCAGAGTATCCAAGGGTTCTCATGGCCCTTCATTTGAACATTTCCTTTTTTATCTTGGAGCTCGTGCTGTGGTCTCAGGGGACTTTTTAAAACAAGTGTAAGCTGGAGAGCTCGAGGCCCCCAGGGTAGGACGACCACGTCAGGGACACGGAGCTAGAAGTACGAGGCCCTTGCCTCTCCGGCAGCCGGAAGCCCAGCCTCCCACTGCCTAAGTCCACTTCCTGGTCCTTATTTCTCCTGCACGTGGGCTGTCCCCAGGGTCTGTGAAGCTGAGGGTGCCTGCATGGGGCGAAGCCGAGACACACATCACGGGCTGGCTCTGTCTCACTGGCTTCCCCACCCATTTTCTGTGATGTCTCTCCTGTTTCCAGGTGCATCTTTATTTCTGTCTTCCCACCTTCCTTGCAGCCTCATTCTACATTGATATGTCACTGTTGGACCGTTTGGACAAGTGCATGCCTGGAGATTTGGGAAAACTATTTTCACTTTGTCTTGGGATCTGTTTGTGCTGTGCCTTCCAAGTTTCTCTTCCCTCCCCTTTGAAATACTGTTAGACGTTACATTCTGTGTCCATGAAGTATAAGTCAGATGAGTTGTAGTGGTTCAAATAAGTATTTGACACTTGCTGAAGGAAACCGTGACACTTATGGAAGCTTGATTTTTTTTTTAAGATTTTATTTATTCACTTATTATTAGAGAGAAGGGAAGGGAAGAAGAAAGAGAGGGAGAGGAACATCCATGTGCAAGAGAGACACTGATCAGTTGCCTCTCACACATCCCCCAAACCGGGGATCTGGCCCACAACCCAGGCGCTTGGCCTGACTGGGAATCAAACCTGCGACACTTCTGTCTGCAGGACGGTGCCCAACCCCCTGAACCACACCAGTCGGGGCCACTTATGGAAGCTTTAGACAAGAACTAGCAATCCTGAAACTCTGTCATGAAATTTTATGCTGCCAGTTTGAAGGTCCCCTCAAAATATTCATTTATATTTTGAAATGTGAGCCCTTGGCGCCCAGAAGGCTAAGCTCCAGCACGTTCCCACAGCAGAGGCAAGCACAGCCATTTCAACTCAGTACTTGTCCTAGAGTCTGTCCCTCAGAGTCTAAAAAAGGAAGAATGAAAGTAAGGACAAAGATTTTGAGTTTGTTCAATAAGTAGAGTGAGAATTCTACAAGTGAATGATCTTCCAAGGACTGAAAAGTTGGCTTATTAGGCTGACATGGAAGGAGCTAAAACTGAAAGCCAAGAAATATGTATACTTTTAATATGGTATCTTCTCATCACGATAGCTAAGATCAACAACTTAGAGTGAACCAATATAAGAATTTATTTAAAGGAACAAAATGGTTATGAAGGTGATACCCAATATTATATGATATGCACTATTACATTACTTGTTAGCAATGTCTTAACTCTGGGTGGGTAGATGATGATGATAATACCTTCCATATAAGCTATTGCTTCATCCTTTACCTCAGTAATGAACTAAGCACAAAAGTAATGTTTTAGGGCCCTCATCAGTTATTTCTTTCCAGGATAAAGTTAAAAGTTTTGTCACTTAAAGTATTTAAGTATTTGGAAACAGGTGTCATTTTGAGAACTTTTCTTTTTCTTTGAAAAATGCCAAAATTTCGTAATGCCTTTTTGATGCTTCCAGGGCTAAGAATATGGTACCTCGCAGCATTGTGTATTATTCCAAGACCTTATTCCCAGTGAGCCCTAGCAACATGTGGAAATCACATTGTGCAGAATCACTTAGGTGGGCACGTTGCTGAGTCCCTCCTTACCTAACTTTTTAAAACATTTTGTGGGTGGTGTAAAATAATTACAGATTTAAATCTACTTGCAAAGACTTGGACGTACTAGTGCTTTTTCTAGGAAATAGGAAAGCCGATGGTTGCCAAAGCTATGCAACCAATAAAGAACCGTGCCCAGCCAGAGCCAGCCCTCCGCCAAGTGCACCCACGGGAAGTCAGACTTGCCAGCCGTACCCTGAAGTGACGGGCTGCTACTGCCTGTCGCCCACAGAGCACCTTAATGATAGGAAGAATTTTAATACTTGGGCAAATGCCAATTCCAATAACCTTAAACCTTTGTGTCCCATATACGCAGACATTTGTATGTGTGCGTGACACTGGCTAATAGTTATCTTCTGATTGGGTATTACAACCAAAACCTGTGCAGACATTTCCCAGAAATATCTGATGTTGGGTAAGTACAGGAAGGTCCGAGGTGAAGGATGAAGGGCAGGAGCCCTGGGGTGCAACAGCAGCCTGCGTTCAGTGTCTGCGAAAGCGTCTTCAAAGGACGAGCTCAAAGAAAGCAAGAAAGTTGAGTCTCTTTAGAACTTCTTTTGGGACTAGCCCACAAGAGTCATTCTGTTTGTCAGTTATGGATTACTCCTCTGAATAATTGCTAATGTTTATAGGAGTAAAGAATTCTTCTGAAATGAAACATTTAAATATGGGTTATTGAGGATCAACTCTAATGGGCAAGTTATAAAAACGAGGTACAATTGTGATCCCATCGCTGCCCTTAATTAAGAGAAAGAGGACGGTTAATCCTCGGGGGAGCTTCCCGCATCAGGTCAGTAGTGGCCGTAGGACTCATTCGCTGGCCGCCTTCGATGGCGCATTCACAGGTGTGCACTGGGCACGCGCTCCTGGCCAGGCGCCATGCGGAGCACACAGAGACGAGTGAGACCTTGTTCCAGTTCTTCCTTAGATTTAAAAGAAGGATTTTCTTCTACACATAAACCATATTCTTCCTCCCCCTTCTTGCCTCTACCGGTGTTACTTATACTCATTTTTGTTAAAGTATGAACTGATTACTTCTCTTTAGAGAGTGATAGTAACTGAGATAACATTTTTTGAAATGAGCTTTTTACAAGATTAGCATTTTGAAGTGAAGTGTCATAATTTTTAGAAGCTAATATCTGACTTAAGTAGTAAAGTCTATAATATATCGGGATCTAGATGCTAAAGTGACTTGAGGAAAAGAAGACAAAAATTTCAGAATGTGATAACCAAAAGCCAGTTAACAAATTCATATGTCATACCTGAAATATCTTACTGCCCATTTGGTACATATCTGTGATCCAGTTACCTAAAAATATACCTATTAAGAAATTAAAACATTATAAAACATGTTATTTTAAAACTCTAGCAGTTGACATCTTTCATTTGTTGCTGGCCAGATTTAGAACAGTTTGACCTACCTAAAGAAATTGGCTCTTGTACAAGTCAAACTAATACAATGTTATATGTCAAGTGTATCTCATTTAAAAAAAATAAAAGTGGAAAAATCAGCTCATACTCTACTTTTTGAAAATCTATGATTTGTTTAAAATTGTCAGCACTAATAGACACATAAATTAGTCTTTATCAACATTTAAAACTTGTGCTTTAAAGGACACTGTCAAGAAGGTTGAAGACAATGCAAAGAATGGGAGAAAATATTTGCAAATCATATGTCTGGTCAGGGACTTGTATCCAGAATATGTAAAGAACACGTACAACTCAACCATAAAAGTAATTACATTACTAATCATTAACTTAATAGTCCTACATCTGCTGGTGTGTTCTCGGGGCAGGTCTTTGCTCAAATTTGAGGAAGGGGGACAATTTCGAGCGATAGTGGATCTCTTTCCAACTTCTCACCATTCTCAGTTCATCCCTGCAGTCCTTGTGGTCAGAAGGGAGGGACGGTAGCTTGGTGGCACTCAAGCCTGTGGCAGCCAAGCCCCAACAATCCTTTCCAGACTCTTCCCCATCCTCTTCCCCCAAAACACCACGCCTTCCAGCCTGGGCGGCCAGTCCTGCTGTTCCCACCCACGATGGCCCTTCCATACCTCCTCCCGCACGATGTTCCAGCCCTTTGGAACCTGAGCCTCCCACCTGCCCAGCACCCACCTGGCGAGCTTACTCTTCCATGCCCTGCTCAATACTCTTTCTGTAGCTTTCCTGAAAAATTGATGGTGCACACCTTTATCTGAGTGTCGTCATTTTTCATATACCCCTGAGTAAGCTCTTATGTGGTGTTATCTTTATGTGTTTTAAGTCTGTCTCCTTCAGTCGACTCTGAGCCCCTTGAGGACAGGGACTACATCCCATTCATCTACTCAGCCATGACTGCTGGGTCACAACTCAGTGCCTAGCCATAGCAGGTATTCAGTAAATGTTTCACTAATGCAATTGTTAGGCTGGGGAGAGGGGGCACCTCATCTTTGCAGAGAAAGATGGAGAGAGAGATAAATGGTCTCACGGTACCCGGAAGAAAGAGATCTGACTCATCTGGTGTATTTCAAAGTGAGGAAACAGAAACATAACGCTGCAATGAAGGCATCTTGTGTTGATAAGGGGAAGGGACTGGGTGACCACACAGGTTCCCAGACTCAGCCTTCCACTCAAAGGAATAAGTTCCAGTCACCAGCCTCTGCCACCATGCCTGGATTGTATTTGGGTTTGCATATCCCAGTCCTTCATATGCTTGGGATTTAACCATCTAACAACTGCTCCCGAATCATTAGCAAGTGCCTCTCCATTCCTCTTAACGAACTTCCCATCCGACCCGCGTGCTGCCTGCTCATGGTCTTCTCCCACACGCCATTGGAATGACGCATCTGACTGCTGGCTGCCTTAACCTTGTGATTTGAACTCAAAGCTCTTTTTCGGAAAACTAAACCTTATATCACCTTTGCGAGCCAAGTTGATGAGTTTGTTTCTTTTGTTCCTCTTTTTTAATGGACCCCCCCCCGCCCCCATTTGTTGTTTTGAATTTTTATTAGCGCGCTTTGTTTCCTTTATTGCTGTCCCTTCTCTCATTTTGTTTTCTCCATTCTTCTCATTGGAGGGAATGAGCCGTCCAGCGGCCGGAACTCCCCTCTCCCCCACCGGCCAGACAGCCGCCCTCTCACTCCAACTTACGTTCAGGCCCCTAAACATTTCCATGTTCCAGGTAGGAGCTGACACGGTCTATGTCATGGTGTCCTGTCACAGTGTAGAATGTAGCCTTGTCACCTCTGTCTCGTCTCCATCTCTCATGCTTTTTAAATTGGGATGCACACAGTTGACAAACCCTAAATTGCAGGATCCGACCTAGGGAGCCTTTCAAAAATTTTGAATGTGAAATGCCAGGATTGTACTGAAGGTTTAAGTTTTCTCAAATTTGTTTTGAAGGGGCCTGAGGCAGAGAGTGAAGGAATGAGGGCTGAGTTTTGTTTGTACCGAAATTTTGATTTTAGCTTTATAACAGCGGCTTCTGCAATATCACTCTGTGGTTTGGTCTCATTGACTAATTATAACAATGACCATCAGATACCTTTTCATTCTAAAGAGTGAACCACAGTGTCCCTCCAGAGTACTTTTATTTTTCTTGTTTGTCTCCAACGTGGAGATTCTTTCCATGGGCTTTTATTTTCAGAGCAGTGTAAAATGGAATTGATCGAGCGGTCTTTCTGCAGTGTATAACTAACCAACCACCCTGGATCCCACAAAGACATCTTGCAATTTAGGCTTGGTGCTGCGAGCTTTGCTATGTAGTCACAGGCATTTGCTGTCACAGCACAAATAGTAATCTGTCACGTGGACCTGGAAAAATCAGAGCCCATCCATAGCATAATGTTTTGGGTCAGCTCAATTTGTAAAGACAAGATTGGCCATCAGGAATCACGCTGTTATTTTCCATGGGAAGTACATAGTTTTGCTTCTTCTAGCTGCTGAAATGTTTTAATAAATTGCCCACTTTGTTAATTGTTAGAATATATATTTGGATTCCGTTTTTTTTTTTTCCTTTTGCATTCCAAACTGACCTAATAAAACAGGAAACTTCGATGAGATTCATGCCACTAAGATAGGACTGCCTTTTTAAAAAAGTTTCATTGAACCTTGAAAGTCACTGTTACACACTCACGCCCCTTTATTACATGAAGAACAGCCCACTGGGATACAGTGCCCACGGTTCTGAAGAAACAGCCTTTGAAATTTCCTGCATATTTGCACTCAAAGTGAAATGGTAGCATAACCAAATAGGGTCCTGTGTAAATAAGTGAATAATATTTGGCATCTCAGTCTTTTTCCTTTAAAAAAAAAAAAATGTGGCCTGTAGAAGTTAGGATTTTGTCAGACATCCTGGTAGCACATCAGACTAGCCTTGCGCATAAAAAGTGTTTCTGTGTTTTAAGTAAATACTCTTAATTTGACTGCATTGCTTTCGACCGTTCCACTCATTAGTTGAAAAGTAAATTGAGCCACTGGTATCTACTGGGAGCTCAATTTCTAGACAGTAGCAATTTGGGGATTTTCCCCAAACTGGTTATGTCTTCCTCACCATAGAGTACCTCCACTGCTTGCATTTCTTCCTGTTTTAGCCCCTCTTGTAGTGAAGTGTGTATTTAAAATAAATGGCTCATGAATTAACATCTCCGTATATCCTAAGATGTATTACAAAGGATTTCATATCACTTGTCTATAGTAATTCGCTCATTCCTGTAATTTCTTCTCCCAGTAACCTCACTCTTTGTAATACAAAAGTTGATCTGGGTTATTTTTGTTCGAGAGTCTTCAGTTGGTTTGCCTTTTGGTTGATCTGTTTTTCCCATCGCTGAACTGGTTCCCATAATCACACACCTTTGCTTTTCATTTCCACAGATCAAGGGATCAACATTTACCGAAAACCACCCATCTACAAACAGCATGGTAAAACCCGCTTTCCTGCGCGTTAGCTTTTAAGTAGCAGCGTCAGCTGACCTTGTCTTTGCTGTCCTCTGAAAGGCTTATCTGCTGCTGCTTTTGAGACTCAAACCGGGGCGCCCAGCGAATTATGCCTTGATGTTCTTCTGAGATGCAAATATTGTGAAATTGGGGTTCCTAGCGGCAGGACACTTAGCTTGGTCAGAAAGCTTCAAGCTCATTTCTGAGGCCATTCAACCACGTGCCATTCCATTCGTTGAGAAGGGAAAGTGCAAGCCGCACAATAATTCACAAAGAGCCTAACAAGACATTTTTTTTTCTTTGCCATTAAATAATTTAACCAACCTCTTTAATCATTTAGATCAGCTTACAGTTTGTTCACTTAAAGCTAGCGAAAGCCCACTACCTGGAAAAATTAATTTGGCTAAGTCTGCATCAGCTTAACTGTCCTGTTCCTGGTTTCTTATGGCACCTGAAGACAAACATGCCCTGGTGATGCTGTGGACGGGACACGTGACACAGAGGTCCTAGGCCTCATCCCATCTCGTCACCTAAGTGCCTCTGTGACTTTAGGTTGTCACCCACACAATTCCTCTGACCCTCAGTTTTCTCTGTAAAACCAGTGAGTTAGACTAGTTTGTCCCTGAAATTCCTACAAACTAAGAATCACTGATGTGGATTTCTAGCTGTGTTTTCCTTTTCTGGGGCTATGGACTTTTGAAACCCAGGAAATCACACTACTACCTGTAAATTACATTTCCCTCCACCATTATTAGATGTCTAAAGGATCTATCTGCCATAATTTTTGTGAATGGGGAGAGAAAGTGAAGACAGGTCTTCAGGTGATTTCAGAAAATTATGCCTGGAAATTTGAAGGCTGCCTTTAAAATGTAGTTGACATTAACAAGTCCTTAAGGATTAGGATGCCACGAAAAGCAAATAAAGTTGAAAAAATACAGGAAAAATTTTAGGCCAACATTCTAGGGGAAAAGAGAGAATATATGTATTGTAATGGTTGTGGAACTATGACTTTCTTCCTCATCTTTTTTTATTTCCTTTTTTTAAGATTTTACACCATGTGCTTGCTTTTTAAGTTTGTTAACATTGTTTTTGTTTGTTTTTTTTATGGTTTAATGTCTTCTCACCCACTCATTAACATGTGAATGTTTACTGACTTCACCAATTCTAATGAGTAAGTACTGTTTGAAGTCATGCTTTTTTTTTTTCAATTTAAGAATAAGATTCCCAGAGTTTGATTTATCAATTTAGAGACTTTTTAAATACTAAAATCTCTAGGCCCTGCTTCTCTAAACAAAAATAATCAAATAGTTAAGACTAATGATTGAATAATGTTAGATTATTTATTTGGAAGGGATTAGTTGACTTCTTTTCTTAAAATTTACTTTGACTTCACTCTCTCCTTTCTTTTAGACCGTTGTCATTAATTAAGACTAGCATGTCCAAAGCATCACTTCCCAAAGGACATACTCCAAAACAGGGTTCCATGTGCCCTGATGCATTTGGGAAAATGCTAGACTTAAATAAAGTCACACTTTTTTGTTTTTTATTTGTGTTTTTGGTAATGCAGAACTCAGTCCTTAATACACTAACATATTTTGTTCTTTAAGAAGAAGATATTTTATGCAGTGTTTTTGCATCAAGTTAATGATTCAGAAAAACCCTGTTTGAAACCAGGCTACGACCTTATTCCATATTATTACAAAGGTCAACCTTGGTCAAGTCACTTAGGCAGATTGTGACCTAGGAGTTTCCTACAAGATTTTAAAAGTTCTTTTCAGATTCAAAAATGTGGGACCCAGGGAAGAGGGAAGTTTTATTTAAAGCATTATAAATATATTTTGAAATGTTTACTAACATCCCAGGTCACTTTGCAGAATTAGCCAGAATTAGAACCTGACCATTTTTCCCAGTCTGTTCTGCTCCGTCTCTGAGGCTGGATTTGGGGCTCTGGGCCAAGAACTCCCCTGCTAAGCAGAGCCCTGTGCACTAACACTGCTGCTAGCCTGGCTTTTGTTGTTCTAAAGCCAGATGACTCACTTCTGTGTGCAGACCCTTGAACAAAACAGTGAGTGGGTATAGGAAGCATAAGTCACAATGTCAAGTTCCTGCAAGCTGAAGTGGGCTTTCCCATTTCCATTTCTCCGAGGACTCAAAGATGTATAAAATATATAAGGATTCAAATGAACTGGACTAAGATATTTGTGGCCAAGAAGCCAAAAGACAAAGCCAGGTAGCCAGCCAGCCAGCTTATGATTAACAACAGTCAAATGACAGTAATATGATTTTTAACTTAGCTCTTTAATTTCAAATTACTAATTCAAGTGTCTAATTGCCTAGGAATTAGTCCAATAGAAGTTTCGAGGATGATGGAAATATTCTATAACCTTGCTGTCTAATACATGTGACCCCTGAGCACTTAAAATGTGCAGCTGAGGAACTGACTTTGAGTTGAATAATTTTTTTCATTTAATTTCATTTATTGAAATTTAAATAGCCACATGTAGCTATAGTAGTGGACGGCGTAGCTCTAGAACAGATATAGAACAGATGTAAAATGAAGTGTTGTTTCTGATGGAGCATTAGGAAAATGAGTTGAGCTGTCGCTGGGCACCACTGAGTGACTGGGCAGCTGAGAATGGCAAGAACAAGACTAAGTAAGTGGGTGACCTCCCCCCAGCCTTGCAGACTGGCAGCTAAGCTCCCCCTGGTTCCACCTAGATGCAGCTGCCTTGGCAGCCCAGAGCAAGTCTTCAGAAGATATCATCAAGTTTTCCAAGTTCCCAGCAGCCCAGGCTCCAGACCCCAGCGAGATCCCAAAGATTGAGACGGACCACTGGCCTGGTCCCCCCTCACTTGCTGCCGTAGGTATGCGACTATTACAGCTAAGCCAAATGGACAGATGGCTAGGAGATCTCAGAAATGCCGCGCTTAACAATGTGCAGGAAAGTGTGTCCGCTCATAAAGGTTTTTCAGAAAAGTATGACCAAGAGGTGGAATAGTGGGAAGAACTAGTGTGGTATTAATGTGTGTACAAAATGCCTCCAAGTTGCAAACACCCGATCGCCAGGGCGTGCTCTAACTAAATCACCAAGATGCAGAAATGGTCTAAAACATGACACACGTGGACCCTCAGAACTATTCCTGCAAATTCAGAAACGCTTCTGAACACCATTGAATCAAAGCCTCTTGGCAAGAATATTGTTCTGTATAATTAGAAATTAATAAGTGAATTAACTGAGTTATTCACAGAAGCGTGTCTCCTTTCAGTTAAATGTGTTTTAGACTATTTCTGATTGTAATTACACTTCTCTTAACAACCAATCTTAACACTGAAGCACTTTCACTTTTCTTACAAGATCACGTCCTCCTTTTCTAAGAAGGGCTACTACAGAGTACTGCATGGTCTGAAATATGACTCGTGTAAAGTTACGTGATTTTACATCTATCATTTCCATGATTCTGTGCTAAAATGCCACATTTGAGCTGTTTCATTCTTTGCTTCGAACCACAGATTTATGCTTTGGAATTATGTCTATGTCTTTACTGTTTTGTCAGCTGTGAAATCACTTGGCCTAAAAAGTGGTATTAGCAAACTCAAACACTAATACTGAAAATTTAGCAAGCTGGCTCTACAAAGATAGGACTATCTTATCACATTTCTGTTGACAACATCAAAGGCCTTCAATTTTCCAAAATTTCCAAATATTTTTCATCATGCTATTTTTTATCAATTTATTTTGGAATAAGTTTTACAAGCAATATAAGTACATTTTAAAGCAATTTATATGTATTGAAAGAGCTGAAGGAAAAAAATCTATCTTTTAGGCTCATTACTCACAAGCATTCTATAAGTGATGTTGACTTGAGATATATCTAATTCTTGCAAACTTGTGTACATTAATTCTTATTAGTATAAAGAGAGAATATTTACCTTGACATTTATGATTTTAGGAACTAATAATCAACCATCAGCTTTTCTCTGCCAGGCAATTCATTCATGGGACCCTTGGGGTCCCACCTCAGTCACGTCACTTAGTGGGGCTACCACAGTAGCCAGACCCAAAGGGAGTTGGAGAGTGAGCATTTTGTTGCTGAAACTGCCACCACTAAATAGTTTAAAGTTCTTTGGGGTTCCAAAATGAAGACAATTTCGGGTCCATTAATCAAAATAAGAGAAGCTGAGACTACTAAAGTTTATTTTGATTAGATTAGCAAGGTGTCCTGTTTTTCCCCCCACAGCCAGATTCATTCAAGCAATTTAGGAAAAACGTAATTATCTGAATTTTCCAGCCATTTAGATTCTTCCTTTCCACCCCCATCTCTTCTTCGCCAGGAAACTTAAAAATTATACATGACTTGCTATACCGTACCAAAGTAACTTTTTAGCTCTATTGCTGTATTGAGAGTTTTTAATTAGTAGAAAACTGTTTTGTGATCATTTTTCAAAGGATTGAGAAAAAAGAAGCATTAGAAACCCACCCCTTAAGAGAAAAATAAGAAGCATACTTGTTAATAAGTTTATTAAGGGTAAAAGGGTAATATTATTATGGCAAGCCTATATATTCAGCAAAAGAGAAAACTGTAAGATTTTAAAACTTGTCATTAAAAAGTGACTATTTCAAGGTATGTGGATGAATTTGGATTTCTTTCTATTTGAAAATTGACCTTGGAGACATCAAAATAATAGTAAGTGTAGAAACCCCTCCCACTGACTACAGAGCTCTGACCAGTGGTCAGTGGGATGACTTAGACCAATCAATCACAGGGCAAACCTGAGTCTTTATTGAGCAGACACATTATTGGGAGAACAAAATCCATGCCTCGCTGGGTCACACATTCAACTGGCTTTTCAAACAGACTGCTGTCTCGAGAATCCAGCCAGGGTGCTGAATCTGTAGTAGGCTCCCTTTTCCCTTGTGCTATTCATTAATGGTCAAGAACACTGCTGCCTTTGACAGCCTGGCAGTTGAGCACAGGTGGCCCAGTCCCATACTATCCCCTTGCCATGCGGCTAATGTGAGAAGTTGTCTTTGCTGTGGAATTAGGAGCTGACACGAGACGCCGATCTAGTGGCAGAGAGGAAGATGATGAGGAACTTCTGAGACGCCGGCAGCTTCAAGAAGAGCAATTAATGAAGGTTGGTCCTTAAACTGCTTCACCGCAGTCTTCAGTTCTGCTCTGTTCAGTCCATATCTGGGGAGTGATAGCTTTGGGTGAGCCACCAAGATGGGCAAGAAGTGGTCCTAGCGCTGGAGGGCTTGCTTCTAGTGATTGTAATATGACAGAATGCTTAGTGGGTCCTGGAAGAGATGACCTGGAGGCTGGAAGTCAGCGGGACGTGTACTGTTGGGCCCTGGGTGAGGCACGTGTGGTACATGTGTCGAAAGGAAGCTGAAGGACCAGGTAGAGCCAAGGTATGCACCCAGGTAGTTCAACACCTTCCTTCCCCTGGGTAGGTTCTGCTGAAGGAATTCCCTTGGAATTCAGCCCTTCTCCGCGCCTTTCCTCAGGCCTCATAGAACTTTGTGTGTGTGCCTGGGCCGGCAGAGGGAGATGGGATAGACTGCCACCAAGAAGTTCCCAATCTCTCCCACCCTCCACGTGGGCCCACAGCATCCCAGAAGGCCAGTAGAAAGAAAGGCACTTATAGCCTGGGTTAGAGGGACCAGGACGTTATAAACTCTCCCGCCAGTAAGGAATTGATGAATCCTTTCAGATGACATTTTCCAAAGATACTTCATCATATTGGTGATGCACATGATGCTAGTTATAAGGAGGCATAGGATACCAAGTTGCATTCATAGTATGTTACCAATTTTGTATAATATGTGCATAAAAGTACTGGGTGGATATAAAACAAGATATAAATGTGTGTGTCTGAGTAGGTGATTCTGGGTTTTCTAAAATCTGTTCCATGAGCATGTGTTCCTTTTTATTTTTCTTGTTTTTAAACACATCAGTGTCATTTCTTTTTAAGGGGAGATCCCAGTCTCCCCTTCCTACACCAAAAATCCACACACACTCACACATGCCTCCTGAGTTCACCAGCTGGCACTTCGGGGGCGGGGGGTAAGCGAGGGAGAGCATTTTTCTGGTGTGGAACCCGCCTCAGGGAAATGCAGCCTCGACATTGAAAAGGCTGTGGGATTCAAGGTCCAGAACCTGGCCTAGCACTTGAGGCTTCACCAGAGTCCTTGCAGGACCTTCTCAAAGAAATTACATGTTTCACGAAAGTAATTTCAGGCTTCCCTTCCATTTATCTTTTCTTTGTGAATAGCTCAACTCAGGCCTGGGGCAGTTGATACTGAAAGAAGAGATGGAGAGGGAGAAGGAGAGGGAGAGCCGCGAGCGGTCCTCCCTGTCAGCGAGTCGTTACGATTCTCCCATCAACTCAGGTGAGCGGGAGACCCCCCACCTGCCCTGCAGGGGGCCAGCCTTGACTGTTCCAGGGGAGGCAGGGACATTTCCAGTGGAACCGCCAGAGTGTTCTACAGGGAAGGAAGTATGGGAAACCTGCTTCATGGCAACTTAGCGCATAAGCATGTTGTGGTTCTTCCTTAAATGTGTCTTTTCTTTCTGCTGTAAATGGGGGCGCCCCTAGAGGACCCCGAGGACACGGGTCAGGTTCGAATAGTCAGCTCAGAGGGTGAAGCACAAAGGATTTCGACAGAGAGGACAGGGTGCTGTTGGACTATCGAGAGCACAGACAACATTCTCTAAGCATATAATCTTACATTAATATGTTCAGTACAAGAGCTGAAGACTAACGGTGTTGTTTTTGACACTTTTGAAGGAGATTACCTATGTACTGAGCTGAAATAGTTTATGAGGATATTTCTCCCTGCTTCTATTTGTCAAAAGCTAATTCTCTTAACCCACAAGATTTCTTCTCCCATGTTCTGAACTAGTGCCTAATTTTCTCTCCTGCGTGTTCTTTAAAAATATGTTTAGTGTTTATTATATGTGAGCATTTTTTTTTTTTGCTAAGTATTATTTCACTTATTCTTCACAATATGCCAATGAAATAGGTGATATTATTATTATTATCCCAGTTTTGCAGCTCAGGTATAGGAAGCCTAAGTACCTTACCCAAGGTCACATCACCAATAACTAGCAAAACTCAAATTTAGGAGTCCAAGTATCACAACCCCAGAGCACACAGTCTTAACTGGCTCCCCCGCAACCTCTCCTAGATGCCTCCCTGGCATTGACCTTGGCTTAGGTGCTTTACCACTCTTTAGAGTTCCATCTGACTCTGTGATTATGTTCTATAAGAATATATAGCACTATACCTACATGGGTGAAACAATGAAGACTTAACAAAATGAAATGCCATGCCCCTACCCAGAAATGCAGAGGTGTTAAGTTACAGAGCCAGAATCCAAGCCCAGGCCTGCTTTCCCCAAAGCCCAGCAGTTTAGGAGGCATCCACGCTGCCGGGGAGACACCCTGTCCCAGGCCTCCCAGGAGTCCAGCGGCGGCTGGCCAGTAGATCTTGATAGCGTACATGGTTGGCTTCATTTGGGCCAGCGATTGCTGCTATATCAACCGTGGCATGGGCTTATACACCCAAAGAGCCCTGTGTTCAAATCAGTGCTCAGCTACTTACAAGCTGAGCGATCTTAGGCAAGCTACTTAACTTTTGTCAGCTCCTGTTTCTTCTCCTGTAAAATGGAAATAATACCCATGTTACTGGGGCTGTATCTGGGACTCAGATACACCTTCCCCACCCCTCCTTGGTAATATCACCGCCCACTCATTCCCTACACCATGCACCATGGTGGCATTTTGTGAACACTTGAGCCAGATATTATTTGGATTATCTTTTTCCCTAGATTGTGTATTCTGCAAGGGAGAAGATACACTACCAATTTCATTAAAGGAGGGAAATTCCTCTTTCCTAACCATTGCTTTTTTTACCTTTTTCTCATTTAGCGTCCCATGCGCTGTCATCCAAAACCTCATCTCTCCCAGGCTATGGAAGAAATGGGCTTCACCGGGTAAGATTTGGCAATCGCTTGTTTCTGAGTTTATTCCTGCTTCAGTCTTGGTTGAAGTGCCAACGTGCTGTCTGAATGCGTCTGGCGTGGTGCACTCAAAGTTAGTGTATAATGGAGGAAATCGTAATCGCCCCGATCTCCTGGTGAATCACTTTGAGTTACGGGCGTAATGAACATTTCTATTCAAAGAAAGAGAAATGTACTTCGGATAAAAGAATAGCCTGTGTAATTTTATGGGAAGATTAGATTAAGTAAGAGGGTGGCACATATTTCTACAATCAAGCAAAAAGTAATTAGTCAAGGCTTTATCGTTGCTGTAAAAAAACAACAACAAACAAACAAACATGAGAAAGTGTTTGCCACCTGCCTCCCTACAAAATGTGGAATAAATGTAACCATGTAACTATGTGGAGAGATGTTTTATGACTTATTAGCAAGAGGTACTTGCTTACCAGACACGTGCTGAGCAGTGGCATTGAATGTACTACCAAAGACAAAGAGATGTCACAGAAGTAGAGGGAGAGAGTGAAGAAAATTGATGAAGGCCCAGGCATTCAGCTTGGGAAGGATTCTTCGGTTTTATAAATTCTTCCACCCGTTTCACCTGTGTCCCAAACAAACCCTGGGGCGTAGATTTCCTAATACTGTGGTTTTATTCTCATTTCAGCCCGTGTCCACAGACTTCGCTCAGTACAACAGCTACGGGGACGTCAGCGGCGGAGTGCGAGGTGAGGGGCCCGCGGCTGCACTGCCGGCTGGTGTGGCCGAGGCCGAGCAGAGGCTGTGTGAGACAGGTGCATCGGCTGGGCTCCTGCTGCGTTAGGGTCTGGAGTGGGACCCCTCCCACCCTCTGCAGGCTCATAGGGCGTCGGTTAAACTCTCAGAGGATCTCTAGTGAAAGGAGACCATAAGCCGCGAGTCTGAGAATGAGCCCGTTGCCCCTCCTGAGTGCTGAGCACTCGGTTAGATGCCTGGAGGTACCGCGAGGAAGGGCGCTGCCCTGCCGAATGCACACGGCCCGCAGAGGGAGAGGGAGAGAAGCTCTGTGTGGTAAATGCCGTGCGTGGAGATGCAGAGAGCAGGCAAACACCTTCAGGGTTGCGGGGAAACTTCCACGAGAGAAAGATGTGTTTTAGCTGATAACTGAAACCCGAGCAGGCGTTTCCTTGCTTCGGGGAGGCAGACAGGCAGTGTGTGCACAGGCCCGGAGCAGGGGGAGAACTGGGCCTGGGGACTGTTCGGGCCAGCGTGGGAGGTCACAGGCTCTCCGCCAACGTGTCCGTGATTCTCTGTGGTCTTTCCCTTCTGACATTTTCTTTTTCCTTTCTTTGCAGACTACCAGGTATGGAGCCCCGTCTTTCTGGAGTTGGCCGCACCCACGGGACGAGCGTTTTTCAGTCCAGATGTGTGTTGCTGCTCCAGGGAAGGGTTTCTGTTGAGAAGACGTTAATGCGGGCTGCTCCGTGTGGTCATGAGCCCATAACCGTGAGGCGCCCCGGGAGCGGGCGCACCTGTGCGCAGGTCATGCTGCCCCTGCAGGCCGTGGGGACGTGGCATGAACCAGGCCAGGGGCCGGGCGCTCTTGCTCTGGCCTTGGAAAGTCCTCTCTGCAGGGGGAGTGGACTGGCAGCAAGGGCCCACCCGTGTACAGTTTATTTTCTTTTTCCTTTTTCTTTTCAATTTAGATAGTATTCTAGTTGCTTATGATTTTATAATGTTTGAGAGAGGTGTGGTGTGTGCTCATACACGCACGCACACATACACGTGCACACACACGCAGCAGCCTATACATCGCAACTTGCTTATCTAAAAGGTGGCCAGTCCACATTTAGGACTTCTAGTATTTTTTTAAGAGTTTATTTATTTACTTTTAGAGAGGGGAAAGGGAGGGAGAAAGGGAGAGAAATATTGATGTGTGAGAGAAACAGCCATTGTTGCCTCTCTCATACCCCACAATCCCACAGGCCTGTGCCCTGACAGGGAATCGAACCAGTGATCTTTTGGTTTGCAGGCTGACACTCAATCCACTGATCCACACCAGCCAGGGCCAGTTTATTTTCTTTTATTATAATGACTCAGTACTTTAAGTCCTCCCTCCTTTGCCTGGTCCCATATGAAAATAAACTACTGTCTTGGCCAAAAAGAAAGAAGTGCTTTGGTACCACTCCTTTTTTCCTACAACCTAAACCTTGTAAAATTATGACAGGAGAATGAGAAAAGGAAAACTGTGCAAAGAAACATAAGATAAAAGTAAGGAATCGACAATTATACACTTGGCCTTTTTTGTTGTTTTTTAATGTACTTTCATGCTTAGAGCCTGAATTCAGAGATGGGTCAATACAATTAAGCCAGGACATTTCCCCCAGTATTCCTGCTCTAACTCCACAAGGATCTCCTTTCGAAAAGGCCACAGTGATTAAGATGACACATCCATAAAATGGTGGAGAGGATCTGAGATCCAGACAGGAAGCCTTGGGAGCCCGCAGAGCTCTGCCTTCGGCTCACACGCTGTCCTGTGCTCTTCCTTGAACCAGCCTTTCTCTTGCAGACCCTCCCAGACGGCCACATGCCCGGCATGAGAATGGACCGAGGAGTGTCTATGCCCAACATGTTGGAACCAAAGGCAAGTACAGCTGTTCTCTCTCCTCCCATAGGGGGACAACAAGCTGGCACATAACCCTAAAAAGAGATTTGGTTTTCCGCCTTTTCACCATCTTCAGTGCTGAGGCTCCCTGGGCTCTAGGCGGGCACTTTGGCAAGCCACCTTGCCATCTGGCTCGTTTTGTAACCCCGAGTCAGCAGACATGAGCCCTCCTAACTAGGTGTGATGCCATGTGCTCACAGGAAGTACCAGCACATCTCCTGTGACTTCGGTATTAACTTGTCCCCTGCCCTGAGCACTATAAGGCATGCGCAGTGCAGCGCAGCCCCGTTGCAGGTTGCTCCAGAGAGGGTAACCAACGCGTCCCGTTCTCCCAGGCCTTCCCAAGTTTTAGCGCTGAAATTCTTGCATCCCAGGAGCCTCCCCAATCCTGGGCAAACTGGGATGGTTGGTTGCCTCGCTTCAGAGCATCCCGTACCTCCAGAGGCATCCAAGGGCCGTGCTCCCTGGTGACCTGAACTGGGATTTATTTCAGTATGTCATTCACCAGAAACACTGCTTCTGGGCCTGCCTGGCCCATGGATTCATGAGCCAACCACAGAACAAGATTGCTGAAGGATATGTAAAGGTATCCTACCGTATCAAACATGTACCTGACATTTCAATTCTCTTTGAATTTTGACTTTCATCCCTGAGACATGGTAAATTTGCATTGCCTCACGCAACAGAACCCGCAAAAGGCACAGCGCTGCGTGAGGCGCTGGCGGGCGGCAGGGAGAACATCAGACCTGTCCCGGCACAGCGGAAACGCAGATGCTCTACTTACAATTTGGGGGCTCCATCCTGGGGGCGCGAGATTTCAGGCAGACCCTGCCTTTGAATGAAATGGACCGCAGTGTTCTAGAAGGGGTGTTCTTCTTTTCTTTCAGATATTTCCGTATGAAATGCTCAAGGTGACCAACAAAGGGCGCAACAAAATCCTAAGAGATGTGGACAGAACGAGGCTGGAGGTAAACAAATAAATAAATGCATCAATCAATCAATAAATATCAAGCCCCGACGGCAGCTCCCAGTGCCTTTCCTCCAACTTTCCTCTAAGAAATGTTTCCATGCAGGCAGAAGAATGAGAAGGATCACCCTCATATTGTAGGTAGAACTTAGTGATAACTTTGGAGAAAAACCCATATTTACGTTTAAAAGGTCAGCATTCAGTAAGATCCAGAAGGACCATCCAGGAGACCCGGTGTGACTCTGGCCATTTTCTTTTGGAACTTGGTGTTGCCGTAATTCCAGCTGGCGGCATCGAGGAGTTCCCCATCCCTCTCCAGACATCCCCGGTCCCCTGTCTTCCCCCGGGCCTCGGCTGAGTTCACTGGGAGAGGGGAGAGAACGCTCAGTAAAGAGGTTTGGACTGAGCAGGTCTCTCTCTTGGCTGCTTCCACATCCCCTGTTGAAAGATTATCTGGGTGTGCATACCCAAGACCTCCTTAGACCTGGAAGATTGATCTTTGTATTTTTCCATCTGAATGATTTTAATTAAGAAAAGCCCTGGCTGCCAGCCTCACAGAGAATCATTCCTTTTCTCTGACGAAAAGCAGCGCCTTTGTATGCGAGGTCAGCCTGGCACAAAGAATCAAGGCTCCAGTCTCCTAAGAGAACTTTTCCAGGAGGGCCAGCAGATGCCCTTCGGTAGGCCCGGCAGCCACCTTGACCCCTGGGGCGGAGCCAGCAGGAAGCCCGGGCTCCCCAGGACCACTTTGGAAGTCTCTCTCTGGCTTTCTTATTGCTATGGCCCGTTTTCTCTGCACCTTTCTCAACATGCCAAGGACCTGAAGCAGAGTCGCCTCCAGCATAATAACTCACCTTCCCGTGCCTCACCACCATTCCGTGCTATTCTAATAATCGTTGGTACTCCGCCAGCTCTTTGTTTGGTGGGGAGGGCACTCGCCTGGCCCAGCCAGGTGAGGAGTAATGAGGGGCCGTGCCTGCTAACAAGCCTCAGAGGTAACCTCCCGTCCCGCTCTCCTGCCTTGCTCTTCCAGACGGTCACTTGTAGATGGGAGAGCCGCTCTCAGGGCCGCGCGCATGGGCAGCAGGACTGACCCCAGTTCTTTTCTCCCTCCACAGCGCCACCTAGCCCCAGAAGTGTTTCGGGAAATCTTTGGAATGTCCATCCAGGAGTTTGACAAGTTACCTCTTTGGAGACGCAACGAAATGAAGAAAAAAGCAAAACTCTTCTAAGTCCCACACGTAGACAGCAATCAGAAAAAGGACTAACGATGGCAGTGACCCATAGGATGTTGTATTAAGGCCCAAACTTGATTGGAGAATTTGCAAACTACTGTTCCCTCAGCAACAACAGAAAGGGAAAAATCTGATCAAAACACCCACGAGCCAAATACTGGGCCAACCAACGGCGACGCTCGCCAAGGAGCAATGGGGTAGAAATTTCTATGTTCCCACACTCGACAGTAGCGTCCGCAGGTGACCTTTTTACATCACCTTATGCACACAACAGGAGCTCCTTCTTTTGTTTCTTTTTAACTGTTATCCAACAATAGTGCTGACTGTACGGATCAGAGCCAGCAAGTGCCCTTAGGATGCCGCATGGAAAAAGCAGCTATTGTAATTCCAAAGTATGAATATATTTATTACGTAGCAGAGTGGCTAAGAAGGAGGAGCTCACGGGACACGTCCATGTGGTAGCAGCCTTTTGCACATGCCTTTGCTCGCTGGCCTCACGCAGCTCTGCACTCCCACAGGGTGGGAATCCCAGTCTGGGGGCCCAGCGGCTCCACTTGGGGGGCCGAGCAGCAGCCAGAGTCATTTTTAACAATCTCCTTGTTCTCTGCTGTTGGCCAGGACCTGGTTCACAAATCACTTAGCTCTTAGTTTTTCAAAAGTTTTTCCAAGAGAAAAAGAAGGAAAAGGAATGAACAGGAAAGCTCCCTTTACTCCTTTTCTGTTTCAGATAATGCGACTCTCTCTTCCTCCCCACCAAGGACGGGAGCTGTCTCTGGTCCCCCCTCTACAAAGAAAGGAAAGGGGAAAGCGATCTCCAGATTGGCACCGCTGCATGCTGTTAGGTGATTTTTGCCCAGAAGCCATGGCATTCTTGGCAAAAAAAAAAAAAAAGTGCTGTGTCCTACCAATGCAAGTTCCCGTGCTCTGCTCTGCATCTGGCATCCTCGGAATTGAATCACGCCCACGCTGGTTTCAGGGTTTGGTTTTTATTTCCCGCCCCCCAAGGTATTTTCATTAGTTGGCTAAGGAAAGGCATGGTTTTCTGTTTTAAATCTCTGCACCTCCAGGGCAGAGTGCCTGAAATTATTTTAATTGGCCTTCTCAGCTTTCCTTCTTGCCTAGCACGGTTGGCTCCACGATGTGTGTGTGCACACACGCGTCCGACTGACTAACTTATTCTGCAAACGGCTCTGACCAGGTGGCGCTGGGAGACCAGCTGTTCCGTGGTCTGAAGCCGGATGACGGGGTGCGGTTTTGCCCCTTCGCATCCAACAGGTTGCCTCTTGCTTCATTCAATATTTTTGCCACCCCATCTTCTCTCGGACCTCACCCTCGGTGACAGCCTGTGTCCAATCCCTGCTTTGCTCTGGCAAAGTGTGAGGGGTGGGGACCACGGTATGTTCCCAGTGTTTCCCTGCCACCATTAGCAACAAGGGTCCCAGCGCTAGGCTGGTGGAGAGACTTCTTGTCGTTGTAGGGTCGGTGAGGGACCCCTGATGTTTTCATTGATTGGTGAGTTATGTCCCATGCACACGCAGATCAAACATCCATGTCAGAAAAACTGCAGCGACGGTTAGAGGATGGAGCCCAAAACCTCTTCCCACTAACAGAACTTTGCTTTCCTTGAATCTTTCGTATTTGGTTCTGCAGCCATCTTAGAAGGGAGAAGAGCTCTTGCCATGTCAAGTACATTAGGAAATTTAAACTACGCCATGCAAATATGCATTGCCCGAAAATGGCCGTAGCCTCCCGTTTGCAAGCAGAGCGGTGCTGCACTCTGGAGCAGGGGCCTTGAACCCTAATGCAGAGTGGGCTCCCCAGCAGAAGGCTCCGGCTGGAGAGAGGGCTGCAGACGCAGCCTGCTTCTCCTAACTGCCAAGTCCAGTACGCGGGCTACCACAGGCTGCCCACTTTGTTAAAGGGGGCGCCGCAAGCTTGTTCTCAGAACGTCCAGGCCGCCGCACGGGCTATCCATCTTCTCCGCTTGAACCCCGCCCTGCACTGCACATAAAAATTCCAGATGTGAATACAGTCAAGTGAGCAGGGGCTGTTCACTTTAGGGGTGGAATGAACACACCCGGCGCACTTCCCCTGCGCAGACGTGAGGGCTACTCTTAGGAGCACAGGGCTTCCCTACGATTCTTTCAGCACAGTGATTATACGAGTGAAAGAGGCCCCTGTGGCACTAGAAAAGTCGGTGCTTCCTTCAGAGTTTCTTCCAGAAGAGCCAGGCTACCATCTAGTCTTCCTGTGCAATTTGTGAGAAGACATGAAGAGCATTTGGAAGCTTGTACAACTAGCTACGCATCCACGTTGTGGTTTGGGTTAGTTAGGAAATGTTCATGATGTGACTTCTTCAATAGCTCAAGACAAACGCCTGTCCTCTGAAACCTTAGACAGAGGAGCGAGAGTTAATGGGTAATAAGGTGCAAACAAACAAACAAACAAAAAGTTGTTTGAATCTGTCACGTCCTCTAGTCTCTTCCCCTTCTCCCAGTTCTGTTGTCCCCAAACCAAGTTTCCTCTTCGGAGCTGAGACTAGGGCAGCTTGTCCCCGCATCTGGTTATGTCAGTCAACTCCTCTTGGGGAAGTCTTTGCTGGAAATGTTTATAAAACTTTCACCTAATTTCTTTACAGTTGAAAGCAAACACCTTTTTCTAAAGAGTTGCTTCTCAGATGATTATATAAAATATATATGCTTTTGCTAGTTTAAAAAATTCAAACCATTTTGACTAAGTAGGTCTTTTCTACAAACTCTTCTAAGCAGACTTGGTGGTCGCATCCTTCTGCGTGTTGAAGGGGCAGGGGACACCCCTAGGCTTCAGGTCCACAGGCTTTCTCTGTGCTTGTCATGAGTGACAGCAGGAAGAAATTGACCCCTGCGTCCCCAGCCCTTCTGCGTCCTCTGAGGAAGCCTCAGTTTTTACAAATCGCTCTCCTGTGTTTTCAGCTGCTGTTTAATCAGGACTTCCTAAGCCAGCCTTGATTTTAACGATTTTTAAAATTATTTTTCTTTGACACTCCAAGTGTTGGTCAGTATGCCCTAAAACTCACTCATGAGTCCTCCGTTGTGAAGAATGTTCTACCCAGAAAAAGATAATTTTGGACTTGAGACTTGCGATGACACCACCTCATAGTGATGATGTACATCAGGGGAACTACCTGACTGTGTTATAATGAAAAAATGAGAAACTTCTACTTTGGCATTTAAAAAGGGGGGAAATAAAGCACTGTCTTTCCCTTTGCTGCCCAGGAAAGTGGGGAGATGGTGATGGATATGCTTTGCATATAGATTTTTGTGTTTTTTGGGAGCAAAAGCTGAATCCATGGCAAGCTCAAAAAGAAAGGGGGAGGTAGACGGTTGAAGCCAAAAGAAACTTTCTAAACAATTTTTGTGTACACAGCAAAATTAAAGAAATCCCACCTTTTCTGACACTTAACATAATTGACTGGCAATTGTTATCATTAAATAAAATTCTCCCCCAAAGTGTCTGTCCCGAGAGTACAGATCCCAAGTCACTTTCTGAGCCCATTCACCAAAGGCAGAAGGACACAATATTGTGCGCACCAACATTCGAAAAGGCGCTGAGCCGCTCAGCATTGCGTACGCATGCGTTTCTTCACCCCACAGAAGAGAAAACGGATGCCCGCAAAACGGGTGTCCTTTGGGGGTTTTATGTACAGACCCACCCGGTGACGAGCATGTGTGGTTTCCGTGAGTTGCCGGCAGTCCTGCACCGAAGCTCTCCCAATTCTTTCCATTTCAGTTGGGTTTATGGAATTCTTTTCAAGTGTTGGAAGGTCCACTGTTCTTCCCGCCCTCCCCCCTCCCCTTTTCAGAATTATGAAAGCAAATAGTTGGAAGAACTGCTGTGTCAAAGATGTGTCGTGTCCCCCGTGAAAGTGAGTGGGTGTCTGTGTGCACCCCGAGTACCACGTGCTGCTCTGCAGAGGTGGCCAGTGGCCCGCGTAGCTGTGCTTCCGATTCCAACCTGCTCCACGCTCCTGTTGCAACAGCACTCGCTCCTCTGCGCTGTACCCTGGGTGTCTGTCGTACTCACGACTCAGTGAATAAAGTGCGTGCTTTATTCGTACGGGCCTCTGTGTCGTGTTTGCTTTCTCCTTTCCCTGCCTCCCTCTGAAGAGCGGTCTCATTTGTGAAAGCACCAGACCAGCCTCCCAATAACCAAAACACAATCAGAATCAAACCAAAGCCTTAGGAATACATTTTTATTACATGGGAAGGCCAGCTGGAGAGAGAAATGCAATAAAATAGTCAGGGTATAGCCAGGACTGTCCAATTGTTCAGACCCCAGTGACCAGATCGACTAAAGATGACCCATTTTTAATGGATCTGCGGCACTGCCTGGTGTTCGATTTTGTTTGTGATGCAATCTCATCTTTTAGACAAGGCTGAGGATTTTGGGGAGGCTTGGGCAGGGGAAGCTTCTGAACTGTCAGGAGTGCAGGCCATTGGCTCAGAAACTCGACTGCAAATGGAAGGAAGACGTCTCAAATCTTTGCCCTCCCCTGCATTACCAAATTTAAAGCGAAGGAAACCTGCATTCTCATTTCTTTGCTCTTCCCTGCTGGATCCCTTTGCTCTAGGTGGCCTCTGCTCACACTGTTCTGCTGCATGTCTCTCATGCCTGCCGTCTTCATCCATTGCGGATGCTGTAGCAGAATGCCACCATGGGGGCTTGAACAGCAGCAAACACATCTTATAGTTCTGGAGGTTGGGAAGTCCACAGTCAAGGTGCTGGTGGGTCAGGTGCCTGCCGAGAGCCTGCTGGGCTTGTAGATGCTGTCTTATGTCCTCACATGATAGACAGCAAGCAGAGGGAGTAAGAGCTCTCCTGTCTCTTATAAGGGACTAGTCACCTCATAAGGGCTCTATCCCTCATAATCTCATTACGTTCCTATTGGGGGTTAGAGTTTGAGCATGAATTCAGGGTGGCACACAAACATGTGATCCGTCACCTGTCCAGGGGCCAGTGGCACTAGCATTCGGTAGACCCTCACCTAGAAGTTGGAAAGAGGATCTTCTCAAGCCAGTCGGCACAAAGCAGGTCAGGGAGCCCCAGCTGGAGGTCTGTGTTCTGTTACTGTCTGCCTCTCCCACGCCAGCGTCACCACTTCGGTCCCTAATGACCACAGCCAGCGTTTCCTTCACTCCTTCTCTTGCGCTGTCTGTGGCATTTGCCCCTGTGGTTCACCATGTTGCTGAGAATCAACTCGCTGCCTCCCTGCAGTGGTTGGCCCTCACACACACAGCACACTCACCAGACTAGGCTGGGAATGCAAGGCCTTTCATGACTGACCTTTGCCTCGCCTGCTGCTCAGCGTCCCCTCCCAAAATGCCCCACCTTCCAATCTTGCTCTCAGCTCTTCCAAACCACGGAGTGTTCCCTGAGCATACCATGCCCTCCCAGCCTCTCCGTCTTTGCCCATGGCCTTTCTTCTCTACAGTGTCCAGCTCTTCAAGGAGAGGGTCTGGCCCCAGGGAAAGGAGATGATGGAACCTGAGTGCTTGAAATCAGTTGTCCATAGCTCTTTGGAGTTACTGTATGAATTTCCCATGGGCTCCATTGCCTAAATCAAAGGCAAGTCCAAGTTTACACCCTCTCTATGATGGGCCCAACCCGACCTGCCTGATAAATTCTTTGCATGCCTGTAGTTTGAACAGCACGTTTGACGCTCACCAGCGTTGCCTAGTATTGCTGGCTTTGCCTGGGTCTCTGCTCCTCAGCTGAGATCTCTGGCAGTGAGACCTCTCTGTTGAGCGCTAGCTTTGTGCTAACAGTACCCCCTGCAAGACAAGTCATCGTAGCTCTGGTATACAGGTGAGGAAACTGAAGCTCAGAGGCAGAGTAAATAAATGTGCCTAATCACTCAGCCAGTGAGGCCCAGATTGGTCCCACTTCAAATCCCATACTCTTTTCCTCCACATCCCACACCCGTGACCTTCCGGAGTCAAGGACTGTGTTCCTCACATGCTAAACCTCCCAGGTGCACAGCATCAAGTGACTCCCTGTGTGAGACTGGCCGGTTCCCTTCAGTCTGTCTGTGGCCCCACCAAGACCACCACGTTGTGGTTTTGAACAACAGGTGGGGGTGTTCACTCACTATGTGTCTTAAGGCCAGTTATTTAGCCTCTTAGGCGTCAGTTTGTTCAACTGCAAAATGGACAAGATAATAACATCCATCAGAACATCATTGTTTAATTATTATCACATGTTGAGTACAGTGCACTACCCAGCATAAAGTAATTGCTTGAGAAACTTTAGTGATTTTTATTAAGAGTAGTTAGCCACATAGGCCTGAAGAACCCCATAAACTCTCTGAACCTCGGTTTCCTCATCAGTACATTAAGAGTGGATACCTGTTCTGGCTCTCTTATTGGGTAACGCAGCTAAATGAAGTAAGGTAGAGTGCTCAGACATGGGAAGGTATTATACTCACAGAAGGTGTTGGGTCAGGAGGGTTTCTTGGTATTATTTTGAGTAAGTTTAATCATTTGATAAGTAATTTTTGCTCCGGGCTTTCTCCCCCCTCTGGTCTTCATAAGAGTACTCCAACACAAAACAAGCTCACTTCTTTAATCTGCTTCAGGAATACCCCCCTCTTTGTCCATGATAGTCTAAGATTGAGATCCCCTGAAGATATACTACTAAATAGTAATAATAACAGAAAGTATCACGTGGCTGTTGAGTGCAGGGTAGAGCATCAAACTGCCCGGGTTTGAGTCCAGCCCCACCAGTAACTAGCTGTGTGACCAGTGACAGTTTGCTGAACTTAAGGCTGAATTTCCACTTCTATAAAATAAGCTTAATAATAATAATACCTACCTGAAAGGGTTATTGTGACACTTACATAGAACTGGACCCAGCATAACATAAAAGAAAGCCCTCGAACATTAGCTTCTCTTCATAAAGTTGCTACCATGTAATAAGGACTTACTGTCTGCCCAGTCCTGAGCCCACCTGGCGACATGGTTGATTTCACAGAGCTCCTTATACCACCCCTGCCCCCACCAGAACCTCTCCCGTTCCAGGCTCAGCACGTGGGCAGGTGTCCTGCAGGCACCGTGGCCGGCCAGGGTGGCAGGCTGCTGTACCTGGAAACAGCCCGAGGGGCCAGCCTGGGGCTCGGCTCTTCCCCAGGGGTTTTAGAGTGGTCGGCCCAGTTCGGTGTGTCCTGCGTAGGGAGGACCCCCTGGCCTACGCAAGGGGTGCTTAGGGCTACCAGCTGCAGGGGAGCCGAGACTCGTCCCATGGAAGGTGGCTTCTCTTCCAGAAAGGGCTTACCAATTGTCTGACTCACTTCAAGCCCATGAAAGGCAGCAGAGACTGAGCTGCCAGTCCTTATAGGATTTGGGGACATTTCCTAGGCTCCAGAAAGCCACCAGTCCTACTCTGCCCCTCCTGCCCATGGCTGGAAGGGGGCTCCTCCCCACGGACCCAAGCAGCCCGGTCCGGGTGTGTCGCCAGCCCTGCCCTTCTGGATGGGGCCCATTGTTGGCCGGAAAGCCCTGGGAAGGGTGGGGACTCCCTGCTGGCAGCTTCTCAGAAAGCCCAAGGTGGTGAAGACCAGTGCCCACAGCTTCTGGGAATCCCAACCCCCACCTTGAGGACCTGTTTCCACGCCCTAATTCCCTTCTCCCCATATTAAGCCAGGACTTTAATAAAAAGTGCCCTTTCACTCCCACGGAGCTCGGAGCTCAGAGCTCAGGAGAGGGCCAGAGCTCAGGAGAGGGCCGGAGCAGGTCAGGGCTCTGGCGGAGAGTGTAGTATGACCACATTTATTTTACTTTCCAACCTCAGCTGGATGAAACTGCTCTCCAGCGCCTACCATTGTGCTGAGCACAATAGCAGCCCCTGGAGAGGTCTCTCCGTATTTGTTTGCTCTGTCCCCCTGCTGCGGCCTCTTAACTCAGCCCTTCCCTTCAGATAAAAAGAAAAGTTGGCTTGGGAAACCCTCCCGCCAAGGCAGAGAGGCCTTTTCCCCCTGGCCCTGAGCATGGTTCCTTGCAGGCCCTCCCCGTCATCCCGAAGGGCCTGGAGGCAGGCGGAGCCGCTCTGCATCCGGCTCAGGAGTCAGGATCCAGGACCCAGAGCCCGCAGGGCAAGCTGGTGGGCCGCGGCGGGTGCTGGCGGCGGCTAACATTGTCTGAGGGCCCCAGGGGTGCAGGGTGCTAAGTGCCCTTACCGTGAGTGAACCCAGGACAAGGAGAAGCCCACCAAAAAGGGAGTGGGATTGTAGCCCCCTCTCACCAAGTCCAAAAGCCACATTCCTTCTAAAGTTGTCACAGCTCTCTTGGAGTCTCCACAGTAAAGCATGGTTTTCTAATGATATGTCAAAAGACTCATCTCTGCAAAGACTAAGACCAGCCTTTCTCAGCAAAGTAGAGCCTGGTCATTGGTAACATTTGTTCTGACCTGGACA